GAGCGAGATTTGAGACAATGATGGAAAGACGGATAGTAAGGTATAGATAGACATCGAGAAATATATATAGAGAAAAAGAAAGAGAGATATAAATAGATAGACATAGAGATAGAGAAAGAAACAAAGAAAAAAATAAAGAGGAATGAGAGAGAGAGAGAGACAGAGAGAGAGTGAGAGAGTGTGAGAGAGAGAGTGTGTGAGAGAGAGAGAGAGAGAGACAAACAGCCAGACATACAAAGAGTGAAGCAGAAATTGGGTTGAAAAATAAAAAGAAAGAGGATTGATTGACTGATTGATATCGCTTCATTTACATAATTTCTCAAGATTTGGTCTCGTGGACCACTCTTACATCTAAAGAGAAAGAGAGAAATATATATAGAGAAAAAGAAAGAGAGATATAGGGGAGAGAGAGAAAGAGAGATATAAATAGATAGACATAGAGATAGAGAAAGAAAGAAAGAAAGAATGAGATAGAGAGAGAGATAAAGAAAGAGAGAGAGAGAGGAGAGAAAGAAAGAGAGAAAGAAAGAGAGAGAGAGAGAGCAATAAAGAGAAAGAGAGAGAGAGAGCAAAAGAGAGATAGAGAGAGAGAGAGGGAGCAAAAGAGAGAGAGAAAGAGAGTGTGCGAGACAGAAAGAGAGATAATAAGAAAGAGAGAGATAGAGAGAAAGCAAGAGAGAGAGAGAGAGAGAGAGATAGAGCGAGAAACAGAGAAACAGCAGATATTCGGGGTGAGTGATATACTACGTCTTTGTACTGTTGAGCTATTGTATCCCCCGTTCTGTACCTACAGCACACCGGTGAGTCTTAGTTCCTCAAGATATTTGATGTCAGATTCATTTGATTCGCAGGCCCGGTTTCAATGGTAGAATTTCATCTATGGGAGAGTTCAGGACTTGTCAGCGGTTTAGCAACCTCTTTCCTTGCACGGACTCTCTGTGCTTTCCATTTACTCCTACATATCCTTGGACCTGGCAGAGATTAACTTTATTTTGCACATCGAATTGATAATATTTAGTTTTGCAGTTCAGCACCAGCTCCGAGCTAATGACGTTTGAGCTTTGTGTTTTGATGGCTGCCTGGCTATCGGACATGACAGCTATGTTCTTGTTTTTGTACCCTAGGTTCAGATTGAACTGAATACATCGCTTAATTGCGTATACTTCAGCCTGGATACTGGTGTACCTTCCCTTGGTTTCTAAGTATTTGGTTCCAAGACCTAACAACCCCGAGAGTGTAACTCATGAACTAATTGCTTGCTTCAAAGTGTGTGGTACTAGTAGTACGGTTGTTCAAGAACGTGGCGACGTATTTTTATGTCTTTTGACACACTCTTGGGTCATTAGTACCCAAGTCAATACTTCATTGAAAGTGAATGTATTTATTTGAGTGAATGTGCAGTATGAGAGGGCGAACGGTCAATATTAACCACTCCTTCCTGAATTTCACGTTGTTGACTTGAATTACACGAATCTCACTCTTTAACTTCACCATTTTTATTGTTAATATACAAAAATTATGTACATATTAATACAGCTTTTTTCCATTTTGTTATTTTTATTTTAAACATGGCGTGTGTATTTTATCCTTCTCGTTTTAAAAAGAATTGATCTGTAACGAAAATTTACATGACTGCTCTTTTATCATTTGGTTTTTGTACAACCTTATTAAGTTATTTTAATAGTAAATATACAAAAATTTTGTCTAATCACATTCGGCTCCTTTTGAGGTTTTGGTGCAGGATAAAATCTTATCTGGCAGTTATTTCTCGGCTTGAGTGTTGTGCAAAACATTTCTTCGATTATTTTCTCCTAGCAAAATATAATTCATTTTCTACCCTCTTCTTTTTAAAGAGGGTAACAAACAATAGAGGCAGATTAATCGTTCTTACCATTGGTACGTCTGTCTACTCAAGGTAATTGCGCGATTTCGAGTCTCTTTTCATTGATCCTCTTGAGACCCTATTCATTCACGTTTTCTTTTTTATTATCCCGACATAAAATTGGGAACTACTTAAAAATTCAGAATTGCACAAAAATCGTAAGCAATTCGTCTTTCTTAAATATGCGTCCATTTGTTTGTATGGCAAAAAGTAAAAATTACACTCAATATTTTTATTCAGGATTTATTTCTTTATGCAAATATTTACTCAATATGAAATTTGTAATAGCCTATCAAAAACGAAGAATTACTGGCCATTACTTTGGATGTGGTTAGAATAACAGATAATTAAATATAATCTGAAATAGGAATTAGCAAAAACGAAATAATAATCAAATATTAAAAATATTAATCCCCTGTTGCGATTCATGGACGAAACAGGGTGTTTTATTATTTACAATAATGATAGTTTTGTGTTTCTAGTGTGTGTTGAAAGTGAATGTATTTATTTGCGTGAATGTGCAGTATGAGAGGGCCAATGGTCATTATTCACCACCCTTCTATCCCCAATAAGTGTAAAGGGTGATAAAGTAATACTAAATATTCCACTACCCTAACAAAGTGAATGGTATGAGGAGGGAATAACCTAGCTGTTGATAACCCCTGAAGAGAAACCCCTGAACCATGGATGGATAAGACCGAGGTTTCACCCGAGGTGGTAGATATGTTAGGCTTGTCAGTAATTTATTGAAAATCACAAAATTTTGGATTACTGGTGGACTATGAGAAGTAACTGTAGACAGAGATCGGATCGACAGAGGTCTTATATATCAAGAGCAAGGTGATGGCTTGCCCTGAGAGGATGTGAACCGTCTTCAACTACACCCATTTAAGAATAGGTCATGCGAGGTTGACACATGAACACTTGATATGGTATGGTATGGTAAAAAAGGATACTCTTAGAAGTATCAGGTCATTGAATGCCGCTGCTGCAATTTGATTCCCTAAGTTTTTTCCATACGTTAGGTTAAATATCCATTGAGCTGTTGCTTCGCAGTCGAAGATGATATGAGTGGCTGTTTCTTCCTCCACATTACATAATCTGTAAATGGGATCATCGTTGTATATACCCATGTTGTGTACATGTTTTCTCAGATGCCAGTGGCAGGGACCAGTTAGTAGTCCTACCACTCCTCTGCGTTTTGCCCTCTCCAATTGCAGCAATGTTTTTGCCAGTCTTGGTGAGGGTTGTTTCACCATAAGTTTACTATGTCTAGCACTGCTAGAGTTTATCCACTTCTCCTTTTGTTTAGGTATGGTCTTGCAGATCCTCCTCTGGCCAGACTGTCTGCTTTCTCGTTACCCAAAATTCCTCTGGCACCCAAGATATCATCAGATCGTTGTGTTTCCCCAGGTTTTGGAGATTTTGGATACATTCACTGACTAATTTTGATGTGATTCTTTTACATGTTAATGCTTTAATGGCTGCTTGGTTATCAGATCTTATGAGGATTTTTTGCCAGTGTAACCTCTTTTAAGATTTTCCAGGGCATGTATTTCTGCTTGAAAGACCGAAGTGTGCTTCCCTAATGAGTTTGATTGCTCATGTTTTGGGCTTGTACAAATATACCCGATCCAGTTCCTTCGTTTGTTTTGGGGCCATCTGTATATCATATTGTTGTATCTGATGCTCTCCTGTATTCTTCCTCTCCTTTGTAGTCCATTGAGACTTTATAGGAAGTTGTGAAGAATGTTTCTGGGATCATAAAATCAGTTCCCATTTCTAATAATGGGTGTCTGATTTTGTTGATACGGTTGTATGCCCGAATTGTTTAGTTCCTTTCCAATTTAATTGTTTCTGGAGCCTAAGTGAACTTTTCCTAGCCTCTCCTTGTATGAATATTTCCAATGGAGGTAGGTTTAGCAGAGTTTCTAATGCATTTGTAGGGGTTGTTCTCATTGCCCCTGTGATAGGTTTGCTTTTAGTCTTTGTATGCTGCCTAATGTTTGGGTAGCTACTTTTTGTTGAGCTTTGTTCCACCAGATTAGTGATCACATGAACACTTACTTTTGGGCCAAAGCATGCATATACTTCCGCCATGTATAAAGGTTGTGCAATGTCTCTACTTAATTTAAGGGTGTCATTCCTTCCTGAGTGTCATCCCTGTACTGAATTTAGGAATGCCACCCGATATTAGAACTGAGCTTGAGCATGGCAACAAGTTTTGTGCTCCTGTTCCAATTTGTAGACAAAACAGAGCTTTTCATTTTATATTGTTCTGATAGACATCCCTTTTGTATACATTGAGAGTGAATGTATTTAGTAGTGTGAAAGGGGCGATGGTTGAATACTGAGGTATCAACCCTCAGATTAGTAGTGTGTAAAAGAAAGAATGTATTTAAGAATGAGTGAGAGTGTGAGCGTGACTTCTATGTAACATGTGTACAGGTTTAAAAACTACATGAATGACCAAGCTGTTGACAGCCACTAGAACTAACCTCTGTGGTGGGGTGGATTAGACAGAGGTTATGTCCATGGTTGTGGGGTTTTTCTTGATACGAAAGTCCACGATTTAAAGAAACAAATAGTTTTATTTAAATATTGTTTTTAAACAAGCAAAATAATATTAGCTTTCGTTGAATTCACTTTCTGTTTTTCCTCTGTGTATGACTCACTAAATGTTTTCTAACTATGCCTGACCTTTTCCTTTGTCTTGCATTCCCACCAGGACAGGACTGTGTTGGGGTTGAGCTTATATAAATCTATCAATCAATAGTAAAATGGCTAAGACAATAACAGTAATAATAAAAAGACTACAGCGAATAGAAATGAAAATGTGATTAATATCACTTCTGTTATTACTCAGTTAATTAAACTTTTTGTCTATTTGAACTGAATTTAAGGAATTTAAATAATATCCATTTATATTTATATATAATTATCACTTTGTGTGTGTTCACTTTTTACAATAAATAATAATAGTAGCTCCAACATATGATCATCCTGCTCTGCTATTTCTCACTGGTTTTATTTGTGGGAGAAAATTGTGAGATGCTATATTAAAATGAATAGAATGGGCAAAATCCTAATTACACACAGATGAGACAATAAAAAATGATAGTTTATACATCTGTAATTTTATTAGATGTTAATTTTTTGTTCCTTTGCCCACCGCTTCATTATCTTAGTTATGGATTCAACTTGAGGATTGGTGGACCCCTTCAACAGCTGTATAATGTTAGGTAGTAAATCACTAAAATAAATTTGCAATTAATAAAAAAAAACAGTTTCTACAAACAAATATTTTAGGAATAATTATGTAAATTAAATTAAAAAATTAAATATTTGTATAATATACATCAGAAATTTATAAATAGAATAAAAAGTTAAGTATAAGAATATTATAGTAATGTTCACTATTTTTCGTGGTCCGCTTGACCAATTAATATCACTCAATCAATTAAGGTTTTAAATTGAGATAAAAAAGTCAGTGTCACAAGCGGGATTCGAACTCACGACCTTTGGCTTGATACACCGCTACTCTACCACTTGAGCTATTGTGGCATCAATCCACTCGGGGGGGGGGAGAAGGAAAAAAGGAGGGAAAATTCAAAAGGTGGGGTTGAGATGGGAAGGTAGTGCCCGAGTGGATCGAAGTCACGATAGCTCAAATGGTAGAGCAGTGGCGTATCAAGCCAAAGGTCGTGGGTTCGAATCCCGCTTGTGACACCGACTTTTTTATCTCAACTTAAAATCTTAATTAATTGAATTATAGGTATGTATTATCCTTAGGATGTTAAATCCTAGTCTGCCTAACCTTGCTGTTCTTACATATTTTTGATAACTTGCCTTGAACTTTTATTGGCTATGATCATTTGAAATGCACCAACACACGCTCCTCTTTTCCCCTCCCAGTATTCAGGATTTGGATCGAGTCTTTCAAGAAGGTCAAATGCTTTGGCAGAATGATAAAAATGACCCATTCGGTAACAATCGTTTGCAATAAGCAAGAGCAAGTTGAATGAATCCGGTGACGAATCCATTTTTAAGTAAAGTTCCCAGGCCTGCTGGGGTTTACCGTTCATTATATCTGCACATGCGAAATAAATGTATAATAGGAAATGGATTATGATATCCTGGAACTTACAAGCCCTGGCTAAATGTGTAATGTAAATGTAATCATTTACAATTTTTTCATTTTGAATCAACAAAAAGATCTCTTCAGCTTCTTTATAATTTTCAAGAGCTGATTTTGCCTAAAATTATCAACAGAAAAATCTAAAAAATCATTGTTCAAACTTAAAATTTACCTGGGCATAATTAAAATTGAAATTGTCATCGTTCAAAAAATAGCTTCTGATTGATGTCAAGTAAACATTAACATCTTCAAATTGTTTTTGCAAGAAGTACAACGATGCCATGCACTGTCTTCCAGGTATGGTGTCGCATTCTGTTTCGCTGTTGCCTACCAAAAGGAAATACTGTTCGGCCACTTTTAGATGTTCTCTCTAAAATCAATAAATCAAACAGTTCGCTCTTCTTGTTATTGATATTTTTACATACTGAATTAGTTTCCTGCCCGACTGCAACATTGACAATCCCTTTTAGAATGTACTCATGGGGCTCAGAAGGCTCTAAATTTTTAACCAAGTCGTATGCATCGATAAACTCTCCCTAAAATGCGCATTGTTTAAACAGCTTATAGAATTAAAGAACTAAAAAGATTTTCACCTGTTTGAAGTAGTATATGACAAGATTGAGCCTTGCTTCTGGTATGATGTCAACAAGTGGTGGAAGTACCTGCAATGCTCCGACACCACCTCGAAAAACTACCAAATTGTGCCTAATCAAGTCGTGCCCAAATGCAAAAGATGTGTTCAAGTCCTAAATTGATAAAATACATAAATGAATCTGTTCCAAACTTAAGAGTATTTTATTTAAGTTTTTAATATTATATTAATAATGTAAAGTATATTTATTTATATTATTTATAAATTCACTATTTTTATGAAAAAATAAAAAACAATAGTTATTGATTTATAATAATTAAAAGATATTATAGTTACCAGTAGAGTTTTAATCTCGTTTTCAGCAGCTTTTCCATTTTCCAATTTGAAATAATTGCAAGCTTTTAAATTCAAAGCAATAGCAGAATCTGGATATTTTTGCAAATATGTTCCTAATAATTCTTGAGAGACGTCATAATAATCCAGCTTGTAATAGCAAAGCGCAGCATAGACATTTAATGCTAAAAGTTCCCTAACCAGATTAAATTCAATTTTTATAATCATGTAATAATAATGCGTGATTTAAACACTAATCAAACCTTTTGTCCAGAAGAATTTTCTTATAGATATCTATAGCTTCTTTATGGTGTGAACGAAGGTAATGAAGTGCAGCAAGTGAAAGACTGTCTTCAATGGTGTTTTCAAGTTTTTTATGGTTTTCAATGAGTCGTACTTCATTGCCTAGTTTGTGGCAGAGATGAAACTGTAGTCTTACCTTTAACGGACAGTCTGGTACCTTTTCTAAAAGCTACATTTTTTTTTTTTTTTAATATTACATTTGTTTAAATTTTACTCAGGAGGTTTAATTACTGTGTCAGCCTGCTGGTACAGCCCGAGGAAAAAATAGCAGCAAGCGAGATTCACAAGTGTGTCGTTAGGCGGATTCGGAAGCTGGGACATCGCTTCATATATTTGCATTGCTCTTTTATAGTCACCAAGGTGAAACGCACAGTAGCCAAGCCATCGGTCGGTCATGTCAGTCGATCTGCCTGTACTTTGCTCAAACTACACGTCGAATAATTAATAATTGTTTATTTCTTTCTAGACATTCTTTTCAAAACACATACCTCCAAAAATGTGATCGCTCCCATGTAGTCCCTACTCACCAAGAATTGATCGAGGGTCGGAATTGTTCTGTTGGCACCAGAACCCTCTGTTAAAAAGGTCCCTCCTTTTAGCCTAGAAAGAATCTTTAAAAAATAATTTTAATCATTATTACTATTTTGCACATGCGAGAAGTATTCAAAAGATAATGCGCAGTAAAATGTTTCATTCTTTCCTACTGTTGTTCTTAATGAAGTCACCCCATTTATAGTATGATTGTTTCTAAATCATTTTGTTCTTTCACCCCATTATATGCAAAATATGCCAGCAAGTTAAGGCAGAAAAAAAATGAGTGGAGGAAAAACATCAATGACCCAACTACAGTGTTATTATCCCGCCGAAGAAATGGCACTCCAATTATGTACATTGTAAGATTTCAAACCAGTTGAATAAACATCGGTTCATAAAAATTAAAGTAATTCCTGTCATTTAAGACGGCTTAATTTCCAACTCCCCGTTGAGTATCCTGGATGAGGAGTCAAATCCTTTTTTATATATTATTCTCAATTAAAAAGCCATGAGCTGTGCCTTAAATCCAGAGAATTTCAATGTCTCCATAAAATCTAATATTTTGAATTGCTCAAATTTTTTGAACTAATGTTTTAATTAATTTAATTAATTAAGGTTTTAAGTGAGATAAAAAAGTCAGTGTCACGAGCGGGTTTCGAACCCACGACCTACGACTAAATACGCCGCTGCTCTACCACTTGAGCTGTCGTGACCTCGATCCTCTCATACACTAACTTCCCATCTCAACCCCACCTTTTTTTAAATTTTCCCCAGTTTTTTCCATTTTTGAAATGTTGTGTAATCTATTTGATTCTCGGCGACAAGTGAAATGGACACGGAGAGCTTTAGTGAAGTATACTTCATTTTAATTCATCAAATTCACTATTTTTCGTGGTCCACTTGACCAATTAATATCATTTAATTAATTAAGGTTTTAAGTTGAGATAAAAAAAGTCAGTGTCACGAGCGGGATTCAAACCCACGACCTTTGGCCTGATACTCCGCTACTCTACCACCTGAGCTATCGTTACTTCGATCCCCTCGGGTACCAACTTCCCATCTCAATCGCACCTTTTGAATTTTCCTTCCTTTTTGCCATTTTTCAAGTTGGAAGTTGGTGCCCGAGGGGATCAAAGTCACGATAGCTCAGGTGGTAGAGTAGCAGCATATCAAGCCAAAGGTCGTGGGTTTGAATCCCGCTCGTAACACTGACTTTTTTTATCTCAACTTAAAACCTTAATTAATTAAATTATATTAATTGGTCAAGCATACCACAAAAAATAGTGTTTTAATTTATTACACTTACACAGGTTCAGGTAACATAAATAAGGTATAAAAAGTTTTAAAAATATTACTTTATTGGAATTAAATGAGTTATGACACTTATTTTTTCTAAGATCTAGATAAAATTTACAATGCAAGTAGGAAAATAGTTGTTATTACAAAGCTATGAAGATTTCTGTACAAAGTCCAGATTTTATTAAAGACAAAATTAAATAAATAATAAACACAGTGTAGTACAATTTAATGTGCAAATTGTAATATAAAAAAATTTAAACCTAATAAGAAAAGAAAGAAGTTTACAAATATTTATTTTTCATTAGAAGGTTTGTCAATTTGAGTGCGATGCAACATAGCCTCTTGGTAAGCCTTCCGGACAGCTTTTCTATCAGCAGGTTTTCTTGATTCTGTCAGCTTGATGTGGTCCAATTCTTGAGTGATGCCTAAAGGTTCTAATTTGTTCCTCGGAAGCCACTGCCAAGTCCTCTTCGCGTCGAAGAACAAAACGAGATAAACTGGTTCCGTGTAGTTATTGGCTAATGCAATTACATCTGCGGGTGGAGAGGGAATCGGGACCCCGTTGTGCACATAGCCTTTAGGCATTTTCGGATTGATGATGAGCGCTGGGTACCAAGGATAGCCTCGGCATTTTGCCCAGACGAGCTGTAGCTGATCGAGAGCTTCCATGGAAGTGTTCTCTGGTGAGCTTGCCACACTATCACTCCACTCTGAATCCGAATCTGACGATGAACCAGACCTGCTTGCAGTCGAATCGCATTCAGAACAGCTTGACCCTTCAGACCGTGATTCTTCGTCTGATTTCACATTCAATTCCGAACTGCGATACGTGCTAAAACTGTCTGACTTCGGCGTTTCTACATTTTTACTGGGCCGGCCGCGTCTTCTTGAAGGTGGATCAGGATTGACTTTACTCGCCGCTGCTGCTTTTCTTGTGAACAACACAGCTGTTCTACGATTAATTCCTGTGGGGGAGGAAGATGAAGATACAGTACTTTCACTCTGATTTTCATCCTTAACAGGTGAGATTTCTTTTCTCCTGCTCCTCCTTTCTAAATGTGTAGTAATTTCAGGCGTGAATAAATCCTCTTTTCCCTTTTTTTCTTTATCCTTTCCTTCATTTGGTTTTTTAGTTCTTTTCACCTTTGCTAGCAGAGTTTTAATTAATTTTATCCTCTTTTTTCTCGCTTGGCCAGGCTTTATATTTTTTGTTAGTTCCAAGAGATCATTTAATTTTTTCAACAAATCTTTCTTCGCCATGGTATTCTGCTCTTTAGTCAGATTCACCAGTTTAGTGTCGATGTCTGATGTATGTAAAGAGTCGTTCTTCTTGTTTTCAAAATCACAGTCTTTTGAAGAATTGTCATCCTGGAGGACATCAGAGTATGAAGGCGAAAGGCAACCTGTGTTCAAACCAAGGAGGTCTAAGTCTTGCTGTGCTTGTTTTAAAAGTGCACCCCCTTGGTCGAGCATTTTAAGCGCTGCTCTGTAAAATATGGTATCTTTGGAATTGTAGGCAAGACAGTTGTTGATCATGAGGTGAAAATCGGCTTGGAATTCTTGAAGGCTGCTGTACTCGAAGGCTTCAATCTTATTTCTCATAGTTGACAAATCCATGGGGTTTTTAACGACGTCGCTGTAGTCTGGAACTTCAGTTTGATCAACTGGCTCTATGAATATTTCTCCTGTGTCTCTAGCCCGTATCATGTCAAGAAGTCTCCTCAAAAAACTCATCAACGGGCACAGTTCCATTTCTAGACAAAGTGATTTAACTTTTACTAGTTCTTTTTTGAGTTTTTCCCTTTTGCGAACTAGTTCACAAAGAAGGCGAGCTCTTTCGAGGTCTTGTCTCAAGCGCTGCCAGTATTTAAGCTGTTTTCTGAGTTCTTCGACATCATTTGATCCTTTTGCTGCAGCTTGAGCGTCACCTTTTTTAGACATGTGTGTTGTCTGGAGTCTTCTAAGCAGTGGGACACCGTTTCGGAGCTGTCTTTTTAAAGTCCAATATGCTATTAGCCTTTGTATGAATTGATTCTTCTTTGGAACGTTTATTAGAGTCCCAATTTCTTGTATTCTTTCTGGGGGAATTGTCGGAATGGATATCACAGGTGCAGTAGTGGTTTTCTTTACTTTTGGAGAAGTGGCCACTGGAATCTTTGGTTTTTCAGCATCTGGCGGTGTATGGGTGGTGCAGTAGGCTATATTTTGGACCTGTTCATTTCCAGTTATAGAATCCTTTACAGCGTCTATTTTCATATAAAGGCCTGATTGTTGGGCACAAGTGACATGAAAAGCTAAGTAGCAGTTTGTCCTGTGGCATTGAATACACGCACCGACTCCTCTTTGTTTACAGAGGTAACAAGTCAGTTTCCACCTAGCAGGCGGGATCGTTTCAATACTGTCGATCGGCTCGAGAAATACAGTATTGGCGAATCTGACTTCTGGGATCCATAAGGCACAGACGACGTGGGCCCAATGACCTCGATCGGTCTGTTTGAAAGCACCACCGTTGTTGGGGCAAAGGACACAGTCGACAGCCCTCGACGGGCTCTGGAGACATCTTCTACATAACCACTGGCCCTCTGGGATGTACGGTACGCCATAGCAGTCCTGGTGAACAGCCAAGTTGCACATATCACAGAACAATATGACATTTGAATTTTGACACTCGCCATCCATGCATATACAACAGACGGCATCGTCGTCTATCATCGTTCCGACTTCATCAGGCTTATTACTCGTTTTCATCTGAAAATATGACTCTTTTTCCAAACGATCCATCAAAAGTTCAAAAGCTTCGACTGAAACAGGAGGAAAACCGCTTTCTTCTCTCCGATCGTTGATGATATCGAGCCAGACTGAATCTTCCTCGTCCATGTCGTACTCGACTTCTTCGTCGAGGTCTTCCGCACTCCTTTCGATGAATCTGATGTAACCGGATGGCTTCTCGAACGGCTCGAGTTCCCCGTAATCGTCGATTATGCTGAATTTGGGCTCGGGGAGTTTCAAAACGGAATCTTTGCTCTTGGACAAGTCTAAGTTATAATTGCCGATCGTACCGTACTTCACCTCGTAGTTGTGCTTGCTGATGATGGGGATGGGCGCGTCCATCGCTACTCGGAACACTTCATCGTCGATCTCGAACTCGACGAACCTCTGCGATTCCGAATACGACATCTTCTCCCTGGGAGCCGGCGGAAGGAGTTTCGGCGTTTTTGGCGTTTCGGGAGCTTTCGTCCATCGCTTCCGCTTTTTGGCCTTGCGGCCGGGCGTGTGGCCGGGAAGAGGTTTGGCCGGCGAACCCTGCCCATCGCCGCTCTTGAGACTGTTGTGGTCAAAGTTGACCAAATGGTACTGGAAGCCGCAGATGCTCTTGTAACTTTTGGCGCATTCGGCCACCGGGCAAGTGTACGGCGGCTGTTTGGTCGTACGCAGCTTCCTGCAGTACTCGAGGACGTCAAAATCGAGAGACATCCCCGAAATCCCAATCGCAAACGACTTAAAACTATGCCGCTTTGCAACCGAAGAACTTCAAAAAACTGTGTTGTTTACATCCGCGGAACTGCTTCAAGAGAGATTTAACCTTCGTTTACGTGTTATCAAACGGACCAGACCCGAGGCGTCCAAAGGCGGCAAACCAACCGGTGCAAGTTTACTTTTGGCATGACGCAAATCAGCACTCTTGGATAAGTCAAATGTCAAATGCTAAATCGTCCAGAATCTCAATAAAGATTCATCGTTAAAAAGTCACAGCTTAAAAAAATCCATTAAATCGCAATTTAAAGAAGTGCTTTTTTAAAATCTAAAAATTCTATTTCGCACAAATCATGTCAAGAGCCCGTTCCATAATTTTAAAAAATAATATATTTAGGATTTGTTAAAATAAAAAAATGTTATTGTTTCGTTTTTTGTTTTAAAAACTGTAGCTCCTCAACAGTTAATGAGGTATGATCTAACATGTTATGCAGATTTGACAGGAGTCTTCAAAAATCAAGAACAGCGGTGGACAAATAAGGCTCTTGGTAGAGTAGAGTGCAGATCTCTCTAAAAATTTCAAATACAATTTTGTTGACCTCCTCAATTGTACAATTTCTTCTTTTAATTACAATCTACAATTTCTGATAAAATGTGTAATTTGATGATACATTTATACACAACTCACTGTTAGAGGGCTTAACTCAGAAAACTAATAGGACTGTTTAATGGGCACTGGCATCTGAAGAAAGAGGGCACTCTCAACACGACACACAAGAATGGCACAATTACACAGAAGACAAACACTTTGAGCCCTGAAGATGTTCTCAATAAAGATCGAAACATTGGCACGATAAAGAAAATGCTTTTCTGAAGCCTACATCACACCAGACCACATCTCACAATTTCTTATTCATTATCGACAAACGGTCACTAATCACCACACATTTCTCAGGAGAAAGATCGAGTTGATTGTACTGATGTAATGAACTAGGAAATACAATAAGCCAGAAGGCTGCAGCACTTGGGGAACAAAAACACCCACTTTCATATATCCATTATCATCATTTACATACATATTTACACTGAGGAGAGCAAATAATATTATTCTCCCACTTCATAAAATAATCTTCACTGCTTAATCCTCAGAAAGGTCATAGGGCCATTTGCCCTTAAGACACCGTATGGGATTGTAGGGATGGGCTCTGATGGGCAATGCTTGGGCAAAACTGTTGGGGCGATGGAAAAGATTATACTGAAACTTGGTAAATTTCTGGGCAATTAATTTTGGAATAGGATTTTAAGATCATTGTAGTAGTGTTTCTTATACTGTTTGTTTTTCAACATTGTTGTCTTAAAAGTTTGAAGAGAAGACCATACATCTTGTTTAGTTCTTTTCGAATGCTGATTCCAGGTTAAGCCTGAGTCTAAGTGTAACCCAAGGTAATGATCAAAGTCAGATTTGGGGATATGAACACTTGCTAAAGGAGATTTGCTTCAGAGTGTAAAATGACAGACGGTCTTGCTTTTATTTAACTTCATTTTCCATTGTCTACACTAAGCTGCTATACATAACTCTAAAGATCTTCCAAAGCAACTGTAGGATCAGAGGCATCATCAGGATAGTACAGCTGTGTCATCGGGAAAAGATGCAAGGAGGGTGGTAGGCTTAATGTTCATTAGAGACATGCTAGAACTAACTTAAGATTTTCTCAAGCTGAAAATAGTTCTTTGTGTTATTGTAACAACAAAATATTTAATAATGCAATACATCATATGGCAATATCTTGTAGAAATATGCCAACCTTCTGGAACAAATTTACTAAAATTGATATGTAATTTATGTTTGAGAAAGGCGTATTCTTTTTGCTGACACTGAGTATACTAGAGCTGATCTTTTAACTAATATTTTTTTTTAATCTCATAAATAGAACATTGCGATTACAATTTTTTTCGACTAATAACATAAAAGATTTTCTGGATTTTGAAAGTATTCTAAATTTATACAGAAAGTGAGATCCAAGATCCTTAAATCATTAAAGAACAAAAAGACAATTGGAACTGACATGAAAAGATTTATTACAGTTTTCTTTGGCACTGAGAACCAATGCAGAATATTAGTCATCAGTGGTGACATTATTCTCATCCTGGACGATTCTAAATTTTTAGCACCAAAATATACATCAAATTTATAGTTTTTAAATGAGATTGGCAGACGTTACTGGGGAGATATTTTTCACGTGCAAGTTAGAAATTAATAAGGTGTACAAACAATAAAGAAATTTTTATAAACAAATTATGAAAAATTGAACAATTGTTAACATTATGACCACAAACATTGAAGTATACAGAGAAATTGTGTATATGCCAAGGCATAAAAATATATGTTGAGGCAAAATATGCTTACCATTGCTTTAGAGCCAGCAGATACTTTGTAATATATATATTTTTTTCTAAGCCTTTGTGTATTTGATGTACAGCTGATATATTTGTTTATTCCATATGGTCAATTCTCACTCAAAAGCATATCTGCTTATTTGTAGAAATATCAACTAAACAATTTTCTAAAAGAATCAGATTTTGGTTTTTCCTTGAAATTAAAATAATGAACAATATATACGCAGCATCCATCATATTGTGTTGAAATCTGCAAGATGATTGCTCTATACCAAACACTGACAATGGGAATGCATCTGACAGAAGTTCCTTAATAATCTTTTGATCAATATTATCCTTATATTATACAGGCTTTTAACGATTGGAAAGAAAAACATTTTTCACTGTAGATGTAGATGTAAAAATTTGGGGGAATAGCTCATTCAATGATGAATGATGGAGTGTGATGTTCAAATGATATATATTATTTGATCTATTCATTTAGAATAGGCCGAATATACAGTTTATAACAAAACAAACGAATAACAAATGTAAAAAGTTCTGAAATTAGCAGATCCGCAAAAGCCAAAACTTCTTATCTAAGATCTTGGTTGAGATGGAAAAGTGTCACGATCAGGATTCGAGCACTCGAACTTTGGCTCAATATGAGCTGCGCTAACCACTTGAGCTTCATGAAGTCACAATAGCTCAAGTAGTTAGAAAAGTAGCATATTGAGCCGAAGTTCTTCTCTCAAATCCAGCTTGTGACACTACCTTTTTCATCTCAACCAAGACCTTACTGTTATTATTATTTTACTATGTTTATAAACTTAATTTATTGCTAATATAAATATGTGTAATGGGGCTTAAAACCCTACTTGTGCTTTAAAAAAAAAAAATAAAAATAATAATTAATTAAAATGATTCATTTCTTTAATTGTATCATATACCTCTTTTATATATTTTTGTTATCAAAATACATATTTTTTCTCTTTGCCAAGTTAGATTCTGAGATGTATTAATTTTACTTAATTAATTTTTTTTTAATTGGCCTAGAAATAAAATAATTAATAGGTCAATTATGACTTCTAAATACTACTACTATTTAATAGCTATATTGTATGTGTAAAGGGTTAACTGCCAAAGAATGTAGATTTTAGTATATTTTTTATATAATTTTTGTTGTGTACAATGTTAGTTATTTTGTTTTAATTGGATGAGCACAACAATTTTGGGTGCCGGTTTATTTGAATTTGGCGGCACAAGACGACTGCCTCGTTCGATTTAACTGACGAGGTTACACTGCAGCCTGGGCCAGTAGCAGCCAGCAGGTTCGATTCGACTTCGTCAGCCGACAGTTGTCGAACGCGTATTCACCGTATTCGTGTTGTCGTTCGTGAATAAGTTTCTCAATTTTCATGCTCTTTTCAAAAAATGAGCCCTGATTCGAGGGTGAAGGCCGTTGGTATTTCCGCCGAATTTTAACACGATCGGAGACGGCCGTCCGTCGCGGGTCCTATTCGTCTGAAATATGATCCTGCTCTTCATAAACGTGAACGACGAGGAGTACTCACCTACACTCTTCGCTACTAGAATATTCCAATACAGACGATTAGAATGTATATGATCATAGGGATTGTAAAATAGGCATAAATTATTTACATGTTTTATTCAATATGAAAGACGGGCATGTTTTGTTAGCGTTAAATAACGAACAGAGCTTTATCTCCTCCAGGAGGAGGTGGACGAGGGTAAGAGATCAAACTTCGAGAGATCAAAACCCAGACTTTTTGATTTTAACGGGTTCCTGTTCTTCCAGGTATGGAACAGATTGTCGAAGCTGCAACGCAACATCCTCAGAGCTACGTTGTTCGTCTTACTTCTTACCGTGGTGTACATCTGTGTCGTGACATGGAGCGACGACGGACAATCCGCCGCCGCTGCTGGGGCCAGACTGCACAAGTACGAACACTTATTTGACCGTGGCTCAGACGACGTTCCTCCCAGATTTCAAAGATTGGTAAGCCATTCATAAAGTTACTAAAGTAATAAAAGCTGGAAGCTTTCTTATGTGAAAAAATCTCTTAGAGATGTACAAAAAAGTTTAGATGGTTGATGGAGAAAGAACCGAGTTTTCGGCGGTTCCATCCATCCAGTTCAGTACGCAAAGCATCGTTATGTCATGGTGGAAAAAAATGGTGTAATGAAAACAAAAAATTTTTACCTTCTTAAACCCTAATATTAATTGAAATCCTTGGTTCCGCGTTTGTGGTATGTCAAAGAAAGATGCTTTAATAATAGGCTCAGAACAAATCATATCTGCGAGTATTTACAAAATTAGGCAGTAATAACAAAGTAGATGCCATGCTCTGAATGACCTGGAACACGTCTTATTCACAATGTGCTAGTCAGAGAGAATGGTGGTTTAGGAGTATGTATTTGATAAAAGACATTCAAAAACATTTCAGTTATCACCACATAATCAGGAAATGATTGTGAGTTTGATTTAAAATATAGGTGCACAATAGTTTATTGATAGAAATGATGAATGATGGAATGAGTGCGGTGTTCAATCCTTTTTTTTTTAAAATAGTTCATACTCACAGTAAGTTGTTTTCCAACGATCCAGATTTCAAGCCCTTAGCTCATCATCAGGTTGAAGGATTTCTAAAACCTGATGATGAGCTAAAGGCTTGAAATCCGGATAGTTGTAAAACAACTTACTATTAGTAGGAACTATCTTTTTTTAAAAAGGATAGTATATTGATGTAGTGGTGATTTTGATTTGTTTTTCTATTTGTTGGAGAAATCCATAGTCATTGCTATTGACCATGTGGTAAGTTTATCCGTCTACAACCAAATTGCATATACATGATAAGAACAATTAGGCCGTAGTTTTGAGAGGAGGGTTTTGGGCGGGTGTCTGGGGGGCTGTTGGGTCTGCTTGGTGGTTTTCGTAGAGCTATGCAGTCTTGCAATCCAATTCGAGAGACATATTTGTAGAACTGCTTCAGCCTGATGATGAGCTGTAGGCTCAGAATTTGGATCGTTGAAAACAACTTGGTGTGAGTAGGAATTATCTTTTTAAAAATATTGAACAACACATTTATTATTTCTATTCCTAGAGCTATGTAGAGTAAGTTCTGGGGCTCTATGGGATGTTTACTTTTCCATATTATCTCGATGAATTTTTATTCACAGTTCTGTTAAGACCCTCATTACAAATACAAGAAAGAGTTTAAAATTATTCATTAAACGGCCGGGTTTCTTCTGCCATCTGGTCGGTTTTGGCAGGGAGGGTGGCCCTTTGGAGCCCTGGTCAATTTCATCCTCTCACTTATTTAGAATTTTACGTGTTGGAAATATAAGTCAGAACTTATATATTTACATTCTGTGGCTAATATGGTAGGACGAGCCATTTTTTTTCTTACCGTGTTTATCTTAAATAATACTTAATTTTAGCCTTTAGATATGCCGAGGGAAATTTTAGATTTTACGGTCTAATTTTGTTCTCATAAAAAGTTTTTGCTTTTATTAAACCAGATTCACACTTTGTATAGTTTTATAATTAATTATTACTATTCATTTATATTTACATCTCCAGCTATTACAAATTTTATTAAACACTTGCTTGGAAGACATGTTTTTTGTGAGTATGAACTGTCAATAAAGTAATTATGCAGAAATGTAGCCTTTACTTTTGTCACACTTGAAACAACAAATTAACACCAAATAAACAAGATAAAATTGTCATCTTTTGAAATATTCATAATCGCCAGTTTTGGGAAGAGAACAATTTTCAAACTATAATTATAAAATTCCAATTTTGAATTTCACCATCAAAATAATATACTTTTAATCAAATCTATAAAATTTCTTATTTTCATCCGTTGAATATTTTTTATTGTACTATGTTTAATTAATTAATTAAATGATTTCACATGCAAGACTCAAAAATAGTTTTGTTTAACTATAGATAAATATATTGGTTCAATTTTTTTTTTTTTTTTTTTTTTTTTTTTTTTTTTTAATTCAAATTATGATAAAGTAGATTCCTGTAAATGAAAATTATCTCTGACAGACTTTAATTCAAGTCAAACAAAAAGAGCAGTGTGTGAACTGCAAGGTCATGAAGAAACTGTTCATTAAGACGTTTTATCTTGACTCTTAACCCTTCATTAAAGTTACACAACACTCGATGACGATTAGTCGTATTTCACAAATTTTAAAAATATTAAAATTATTTGTATTGTTAGTTGAAAAAACAATCAAATTTATTAATTCACTATTTTCGTGGTCCGCTTGACCAATCAATACATGACAATTAATTAAGGTTGTTTTTTGAGCTATCGTGACCTCAGGTGGTAGAGAAGCGGCGTATCTAGCCGAAGGTCGTGGGTTCGAATCCCTCTCGTGCCATTAACTTTTTTTCATCTCAACTAAAAACCTTAATTAATAATCAAATTTATTTAAATTTTATTTAACAACACAGTACATTTACATTAAATTAAATATTCCAATTTCATTTCAACCAATAATCTTAGATAAAAAGAATAAGCAATTGGAATAATTAATATGGTCAATTATGATTACTCAAAAATATGGATTTTAATTTAATTAATTTGGCAGTGTTTTTACACTTAAAGAGATAGGTTAAACCTAGTCAACTTTCATTAATTAATTTCAGCAGCCACATCCTGAACCAGCACCAGTGGAAGTTGAGGCGCCCGTGGTGGACCAAGTAGATATTGTCAACGATGATAAATCGAAAGAAAATAAGATGAATGATGAGATCATCCCTCCAGTTCCGACTCTCAAGACCGAGCGGTCTTTCAACATATCTAGTGAGACAAACAAAAGGCAAAAGGCTGTGATAGACGCATTTCTCCATGCGTGGAATGGGTACAAGAAGTACGCGTGGGGGCACGATCATTTAAAGCCCATATCACACAAACCACATGACTGGTTTAAACTTGGCTTGAGCATCGTCGACTCGCTCGACACCATGTATTTAATGAATCTAAAAGAAGGTAAGTTTCAATTGAAAGATTTTCAATCACTTAAGTATTGCAATTGTTTTATTATCATCGAATAAAAAGAAGTGGAAATTGTAATATAGTATATAGCATATATATAGCAATATAGCTTGGGATTTTATTCGGCCTAGATTTATTTGCAAGAATGTATTAACAATAAGATAAAGCACTTCATTATTATTATTTTAATTTGCACATCGATTCTCCTTTCGCCTTACATTGTCTTTGTATTTGACGCTATTTTAGCCTCATTTTATGTTCTGAGAGTGGGGAAATGAACAGTTCAACAGTTGGCAGGTTTGCAAAGCTCCTTGAAATTGGAGATGATTAAGCTACGTACATATTAAAAAAAAAAAAAAAAAAATTAAAATGGAATTTACTCTCCAAACAATTTTATTTTTGATTGTTCAAACTTCTTTATCATTGTTAGGGATTTATTTGATTTTTTTAATTAAACGACAATCAGAAAAAATATTGAATTAAACACTTCACTTTGAAAAAAAGAACAAATGTAGTGCCGTATTTAATCGAAAAGAATGTTTCTTACAAATTAAAAAAAATATATGTATGTAAAAATATTTATGTATTTTTTATTTCATTTTATTTTTTTACTTTACTGGTTAGATATTAGCCTCCTAGAGGGAGATGAAAATTGACGCCCAGGAACTCCAGGCCCAGCCGTTATGGTCTGGTCAGAATGACAAACGGTCTTACCTTCCATATAAAAACTTACATTAATTGCTTAAAACTGTTACAAAGTCATAAATAACAAAGATGCAGATAAAAATATAGATAATGAAATATCCGTGAAAAATCTCCCAGATCACCGGAGCTAAACATGCTCAGGGAGCCCCCCCCCCGTCTCCTCTTCTCTGCATGCCCACAGCAACCACACCAGCCGCTCCTAACAAAAGTAATTACCAATTTGATGAATCATTTTGTAAAATCAATAATTGGTGGGCCTGTCAGTAAAGATTATGTAAAGTATGCTCAATGGCTTAGGGCTTTGCTCCAATGAGGCCTTGATTGTGCCAATGCTGCATACATGCTTGGCAATCGGGGCTAATAACAGATTCAGTCACAGTCAAAAACACATGAATGAAATAACAAAAAAACAAAAAAAATCAACACACTTTACCAAAAGCTTGGTTATTTTATCAAGAATAATTCTTCCTTGTAAGTGTTTCTGCAATTAAATTTCCTTTGATTTAAAAATATTTACAACTTTTCATCGGTGACATGTTTGTTGATATAAATTATGTAATGCCGGCAGGCGAAGCCAAAAAAAAAAAAAACCATCAAACCTGAACTAACTTGAAAAAATAAGTGCTTATATTAATTTGTGATTAACATTTAATATGAGTTTTTTAGTGTCTGGTTGATTAATAATTTATACAATACCATTCTATTTTTCAGAATTGGCTGAAGCACGTAATTGGGTTGAGAATGATATGAATATGAATGAATTCAATGATGTCAACCTGTTCGAGGTGACGATAAGAGTGCTTGGAGGACTTCTGAGTGCATATCACTTGACAGGAGACAATCTTTACTTAATCAAGGCGGTAAATTTCAGAGTTCCATCGATTTGAGTTTATACATTTTTTCGAGATTTTATGTCTAATTTGTTTTATTTAGAAAGACTTAGGTGAGAGGCTTCTTCCCTGTTTCACAAAGTCGCCGTCGCCCATTCCGTTCTCAGATGTCAACCTGGCCTCCCACAATGCACATTCGCCGCGCTGGGGGCCGGACAGCTCGACATCAGAAGTTACCACTCTCCAGCTGGAATTCAGGGATCTGAGTCGGGCCACAAACGATGATAAATTTGAGGTTATTTGATATTTTACAAAAGATGTAATTTGTCCACTTCTTAACTCTCTTAGAAATTTTCTCAAATTTTTTTTACTGTCTCTTCATAAATCTCAGCTATTTAATGTTGTAGCTGTAAGTACAATGTATATCAGGTGTATTAATTTTTAGATATACAATCTAGGTAATTCTCTAAATTCGAACAAACATGTTGAATGTGGGAGCCTAAACACTTTGGACTCTCTGGGGCAGCATTTTTTTTTCTTTCATAAATGGTCTTAATATAAATGATTGAAAAATGGCAAAAAGGAGGGAAAATTCAAAAGGTGCGGTTGTGATGGGAAGTTGGTGTCTGAGTGGATCGAGGTCACGATAGCTCAAGTGGTAGAGCAGCGGCGTATCAAGCCGAAGAGCGTGGGTTCGAATCCCGCTCGTGCCATTGACTTTTTTATCTCAACTAAAAACCTTAATTAATTGTAATATATTAATTGGTCAAGTGGACCACGAAATTAGTGAACTTAATATTAATTATAAAACATGCAAAATTGCAAAAAAATTCTAAATCAGCATTTCTGGAAGAGTCTCTTACAAGAACCACCACCGTTGTCTAGGTTATGCAACTTTTTTCCTTCAAAAACTACAGCTACAATCTAGGCAGTAGAAACATCTCACTTTCCTCATCCACAGCATCTTTTGCTTCAATTTTCATAAAAGATTTGATCTTTTTGTCCCCCAAACATTGATGGTAGGGGAGTAGGAAAATGGCCAGCAAGAGGATGAAGGACTTTATGGATGGGAAGGTTAGGGTTTTCCCATCCATAGGTAATACCGGGTGTCCCAGTTCCTTCTGACGAAACTCAGGGAATCGATTCTACTCTTTGTTTGGAGGAAAAAATGCCCAGGAGAAAATTTTCAGAAAGTTATCTATTTTGAAGATATTCGTCAATTTTGGTTTTTTCAACTTTTCACTACCTTACCATATAAAAACGCTTACTTAAACTGCTTAAATAAAAATGACATCTGTGCACGCTTGTGCAAACAAAACCACTTTTCAGTAACACACCCTTCCTGATACATTCTGTGATGATTATTGTTTAAACTTCGATCCCATCCAGCATTTTACAAAGCGAGTTCTAATTGATTTATTTCTACCCCCCCCCTTCAAATTTACCTTAGCTCACGTTTTCGAACATTCAATTGTTATTTTTCAACTCTACTAGAACGTTATTTAAAAACTTGGATATATCAACATAAAGCATATTAGTTGAAGAAGTTTTTGTGAAATTTGACAAGTTGTAGGTTTTTTTTTTTTTTTTTTTGTAACCTCAGTAGAACGTGCAATCATGATCAAAATTTTAAATTTTGTAATTTTGACATGTTCCAACTGATATTGGCTAACATTTTATGGTCACTAATCACCACACATTAAAAACCTTAAGAATGGACATACATTTTGATATTTACCATTGTTTATCATTATAATAATAAAATTTACTTACAAATTAAATGAAGGGAACAACCAATTGTTAAACTTAAGTAGAGTTTTCTTTATAAAACTCTGAAAATTTCAAAATATTTAAGCATTCAACTGCCTATCTGTAATCTTATTTAATATAAAAATAATCAAAGCTTACGTTTAAAAAACAAAAAAATTTATTTAAAAAAATGTCTTAGATGTCAATCGAGCTATACCAGAATGGCACATATCATTTGAAAAGCTGGTTTCACACCGAATCTAAAAACGGCTTCAAAGTGGGGAAAGTAATAGCCAATAGAAAACGGTGCGTCCTAACACTGGCCTGAGACCCCACCCACCCCCGAACATATTAATTTATAGAACACAATGAAAACCCAAATATTTAATAACTAAATATTGTAATGGAAAATAGTACTTCATTGGCAGGATATATTCGTTGATTTTTAATTGGATGTTTCCACTTTCAGAAAGCTGCAAGTCGTGTCTCGATGCACGTTCATACTCTCCCCAAGACTGAAGGGTTAGTTCCTATTTTCATCAACCCCAGGACAGGATTGTTTCCAAACTACGCCGACATTAAATTAGGCGCGAGAGGTGATTCCTACTATGAGTACCTTGTCAAACAGTGGATTCAGACTGGGAAAACTATTGATTAGTAATTAATTAAAAATAATATTATGAAGACACAGTGCTAGAATGAATAATAAATTACTCGATTTTCAGCTTAAGGAATGATTACATCCAGGCCATTAATGGAATTAACAAACTTTTAGTGAGAAGAACACCGAAGAGCAATTTACTCTTCATCGGAGAGTTGAAAGCAGGCTCTAGAGAGTTTGTACCAAAAATGGTAAAAAAAATTTTTGAATTGGATTGACTGTTGTTTTAAAATAATTTTTTTTAGGACCATCTAGTCTGCTATTTGCCTGGTACTTTGGCTCTGGGTTACCACCATGGCCTACCAGAAGCACATTTACAGCTTGCACAAGAGTTGTTGTACACTTGTTATAGGACATACGCTGACCGACCAACATTCCTAGCTCCAGAGATTACATTTTTTATCCTACAAGTTTGTCTCTTTTATTTATTTATTTCATTTATTAAATTTTTACATCGTTGATTAATAAAAATAAAAAAATATTTAGGAGGAAAGTAAGCATGATATGTTTGTAAAATCGAGCGATGCTCACAACCTGCTGAGGCCTGAATTTATCGAGAGCCTGTGGTACATGTATCAAGTCACTGGCAATAAAACATTCCAAGATTGGGGTTGGAAAATATTTCAGGTCAGTTGATTTTTTTTTATATATATATATTTTTTTTTTAGATCATTAATAATTTATTTTATTTTTATTTTTTCTAGTCTTTTGAAAAATATACAAAGGTTGAAGGGGGATACACATCAATCGGTAACGTGAACGATGTGAATGAAACAAGACCAAAGGACATGATGGAGTCTTTTTTTCTTAGTGAGACTTTAAAGTACTTATTCTTGCTTTTCTCCGACAACAGGCGATTACTAGATATTGACAAGTTTGTTGTTAATTCCGAAGGGCATCCCCTGCCGATATACGACAGCTAGAAATATATGGGATATCAGTTTATATTTTTTAATAAAAATTCCAACACCAAAGTTTATATAACGTCCAATTACAATTTATTGATCTGTTGTTAATTTTTTGTCTTTGAAATTTCTAGTTTAAACAATTATATTGATTTTTTTTGAAATGTTAATACAATTTATTTATTTATTAGACTTTTATTGTGTTTTACTTGTTCATTTTTTTAATTTTTATAGAGGGTGCTATCTTTATTTTAATGTACTCAGTGTCAATATGAAACAATTTTTTTTGGCAATTGTGTAACAAATTACACACTAAGGTATAATATAAATCAACTTTAAAAGTTTGAAATAATTAAAATAATGTTTTTCCTATTTGAAATTTATGTTAGAGCTAATTATGAGAATAGCAGCATCAGCCTCTTATATGTTACTGATTCATTTTTACAATATTTTAAATAACTCAATAAAAATTTTCCTTTATTTTATTTATTTATATTTTTTGCAAAAATTTTATCACCTTTAGTGTTTTTTGTTTTTTAAATTTTATAGTAGTATTCTGGTGAAAATATTGTTTCCCAAATTGTCTAACAACAATAATCTAATATAATTAGATTAATAAAAATTAATTATTCAGAAATCGTGAGATGCGGTCTGGTGTGATGTAGGTTTCAGAAAAACATTTTCTTTATCGTGCCAACGTTTTGGTCTTTATTGAGATCATCTTCAGGGCTCAAAGTGATTGTCTTCTGTGTAATTGTCCCATTCTTGCATGTCGTGTTGAGAGTGCCCATGTCTGAAGATGATCTCAATAAAGATCGAAACGTTGGCACGATAAAGAAAATGTTTTTCTAAAACCTAAGTCACACCAGACCGCATCTCACGATTTCTGAATAATTATCGATTAACGGTCACTAATCACCACACACTAATAAAAATAATGAAACATTAATAAAAGAACAGACTAAAAAAATAATCGAGATCTTATGACTAAGTTTCTCTAACCATGCTATTTTAAAACCACCTTTTAAAAAAATTAGTCAACTCACAATTACTTAGAATCCTCAAAATTATTCCTCTTTGGTCCGGTTTTAGCCATGGGTTTCTCAACAAATTCAGTTTTAAAAAATCTACTGATGTTTAGATGGCTATGGATTAAGGTGAAGTTACTATTCTTGTCCTTGATTTTCTTTTAGCCTTGAAGAGAGATATGAAATGAGATTTGAAAGTCTTAAAGTGAAAAGGAGAAATATATTTGAAATTTATCTGTGTTGAGGTGATAAGTACAATATTTTAGAATATTAACTTCACTAGTTTTTGTGGTCCACTTATTATTAATTTAATTAATTTCTTTCAATTAATTAAGGTTTTTAGGTGAGATAAAAAAGTCAGTGTCACGAACGGGATTCGAACCCACGACCTTTGGCTAGATACATCGCTACTCTACCACTTGAGCTATCATGACTTCGATCCACTCAGGCATTAACGTCCCATCTCGACCTCACCTTTTTTAATTTAATTTTCCCTCCTTTTTGCCATTTTTCAAATGTGTAATCTATTTGATTCTTGGCGGCCACGGAGAGCTTTAGTGAAGTGCACTTCATTTTAACTTTTAGCTCAAGTGGTAGAGTAGCGGCATATCTAGCCAAAGGTCGTGAGTTCGAATCTCGCTCGTGACACTGACTTTTTTATCTCACCTAAAAACCTTAATTAATTGAAAGATATTAATTAAATTAATAATAAGCGGACCACGAAAACTAGTGAAGTTAATATTCTAAAATATTGTACTTATCACCTCAACACAGATAAATTTCAAATATATTTCTCCTTTTCACTTTAAGACTTTCAAATCTCATTCACGTGAATCCACGAGGACTGAAATGGACACTGAGTAACAATAAGTCCCAGGCGGTAAAGTTTGGATCCCAATCATTTTCTCTTCTTCTACTACATTAACAAACAACTAATTTTTTATCCATCTGTAAAAACCAAAGGAATAGTACTTGATAAAACTCCATCCTGGAAACCCCATATTTCCCAACTTTTCCACCCTCTACTCTTCTTCATGCAAGCCAACTCTTCCCGATCTGCACCCACAAATCTTAGTTCCCTCATGCTTCCTCATTTTGATTTTGCCTGGTCTACACTGGATTCACCAGCGAATTTGTTAAACTCAAGAGAATATAAACTGCTCATGTGTCTAATATATAAGATAATTTGAAATGGCTGTACCCCTGTTATCCAAGGCTCTACTTCCTAGGCACCTTTCTCTATCAAACTATTTTCTTCTACACACACCTACCTGCCTTTCTGATTTCCACCTACTCTCATACAAATCCTCCGCTTCTAGTCCTTCATTCCTCATCGTTTCTTACAACCTATGGAATTCCATCCCTCGCTCCATTCGCCATGCCACAACCCTTTTCACATTTAAGTCCTGTCTGTTTGATTACCTGCTGTCTCTCTCTAATTTAACATTGAGATTTCTGCCTGAAAGAGGATGTATGGACAAGTAACAAAAGGTTGGGTAAAATATACATATTGAGGAAAAACTGACTGCATTCCAAAAAATTCCCAGTAACTCAAAACAGACATCGAATCTTAATTAATTTCTTCTTTATTAAAATAAATTCATTTTGGACTGTGTTGAAAAAGGGTTATTGGAATTAGCCTGAAATGCTTTCATTTTAATTTTTAAAAAAAATTATAGTACTTAAGTTCGTCAATAAAATACCACCTGTGTCTGTAGATGAATAGGAACCCAGTAAAGAAAATAAGCAAGAATTTGTCAAAACAGATTAAATTACAATCAATTTTCACCCAAAAAGTATATTATACAGACAAATTATCGTTGATAATTCAGATTTTTTTTTTTTTTTTCAATTTGTACTCATGCCTGCTTTTTGTCCAATTAAACATTAAATAAACAGCAATGTGAAAAACTACTATATTTTATTTATTAGCATTAATTTTTTTTTAAATTGACAAACAGGTATAATTATACAACAGTATAAGTATAAGATTTTTTAAAATAAATAAAGGTATTCAACTTCCTGGGTCATTTTCTGCCTTTGTATTAATCCCAATTAATTGAATAGTAAATATGAGACAGGTGGAAACATTGCCTTGCCCAAGATAAGAAAAACAGAAAACAACAAGCAGAACATTTTTTTCCTATTTCTATTAGTAAGCTATAAAACAGTTTGACTAAATTTTTTGCCCGATTTTAATATGTATAATTTTTTTACGATTAAGAAATACAGTAATTTTTGAAATTTGTCATTATCCAACTAATTCAAATAATCAAACTAACTTTTGAATCATCATCCACATATATACAGGGTGTATCTATTTCAGTGTGATACCACTTTTATTGAAAATTAGGATATATATTTTAAAAAAAGTTGAAATGGTAAACTCAGTTTCCGCAAAGATATAAAATAAATGGTCTAAATTTTTTTGTAATATGGGCAAATTTCTTTAATTAATTAATTGAGTATCAACTTTATATTTTCAAATGAGATCTGCCAAGTTTTGATAGATTTTCAAAGACTAGATATTTTAATATAAAAAATGACACCAAGAACAATTAGATTGGGCGCGCATTATCGGAGATGTTTCAACTCAAAGACTTGGGGTTATTTCATACTTTCAATGTTGTTCAAATAAAAATAAATATTTTGGGAGTTTATCGCTTACGTTAAAAGAAAAATTAATAGTTAAAAGCACATACAATTGTTTACTGTTCAATATTATTGTAATAAAAGTGCACAGTTCAATATATTCTTTTTCTTCATCTAGCTTTTGACTTTTGATTAAGATGCCGTGATTTTCTATGCAAGAAAAAGTGGAAATTTGTCCATGAAGCTGCAAGACTATGCACTAAAATTTCCTGGGAGGATTAGACCAAATTTTAATGCCTTCTTGAAAGAATGTTTGAGACAACTGACTCATTTTCATTTCAACACCCACTTTTATTGAAAATTAGGATATATATTTTAAAAAAATTAAAATTGTAACCCCCATAGTTTTCCCTAAAGATATAAAATAAGTGGTCTAAAATTTTTTTGTAATATGGTCAAATTTCTTTAATTAGTTAATTGAGTATCAACTTTATATTTTCAAATGAGATCTATCAAGTTTTGATACATTTTCAAAGACTAGATTTTTAATATAAAAAATGATACCAAGAACAATTAGATTGGGCGTGCATTATAGGAGATGTTTCAAATTAAAGTCTTGGTGGTATTTCATACTTTCAATGTTGTTCAAATAAAAATAAATATTTTAGGAGTTTACCACATTAAGAGAAAAATAAACACCTTTTTATTAACGGTTAATGGTGTCGGGACCCCAGTAATTTTTTACTTGATTTTTAACTATTTCAAATCTTCATCAAAACTAAATGTTGGTTTGTCATATGTCACACTTCTTTCTTAGATTTTAAGATATGATAGATTACAAGTAATTAACTGTGGCTTTTCTTTTGTGTTTGTGACATACATTAATAAGCTATGGGAAAAGCCACAGATTTAAATATTTTAAATTAAAAAACTGATTTTGATTTTGGCTGGAGAAACTCCATAGTTAACATGTTATTAGCTTAAGTATTTGTTGTAAATTGTATATTTTAATAACGGAAATATTTAATTATTTCAATTATTAGTAATTTTTAAGTTGTCAATATAGTTAAGACTATTACAATTAATTAATGTTTTTAGTTTAGATAAAAAAGTCAATGGCACGAGCGAGATTCGAACCCACGATCTTCGGCTTGATACGCCGCTGCTCTACCTCTACCACTTGAGCTATCGTGATTTCGATCCACTCGGACACCACTTCCCATCTCAACCGCACCTTTTGAATTTTCCCTCCTTTTTGCCATTTTTCAATCCATTAATGCCAATTAATTGGCCAAGCGGACCACGAAATTAGTGAATATATGACAGATTTTTGAACACTACCGATATTTTCTATGGTTGGAAAAGTTTTTTTACCATCAGTACCAAAGAACAATACAATTGTTTACTGTTAATTATTATCGTAACAAATGTGCACAGAATATATTCATTCTTCAATATATTCTTTTTCTTTATCTAGCTTTTGACTTTTAATTAAGATGTTGTGATTTTCTGGGCAAAGAAAAGAAGAAATTTGTCCATGGAGAGCAGGAAAGTTGTTCGTGAAGCTGGTACTCTATATGCAATAAAATTTCCAAATGTGTGGTAATTAGTGACCGTTAATCGATAATTATTCAGAAATAGTGAGATGCGGTCTGGTGTGATGTAGGTTTCAGGAAAACATTTTCTTTATTGTGCCAACGTTTCAATCTTTATTAAGATTAATTAGATTATCTTATTATTATAATTAGATTATCTTCAGGGCCTGGGATTTACAAACCTTGTTTAAATTTAAAAAATACATTTAGGATGTGGAAAAATGAATTTATACAATGCAAATTATATTTTTTTATATTCAAACAAAGTATTTCTACTCACTCAAAGTGTTTGTCTTCTGTGTAATTGTGCCATTCTTGCGTGTCGTGTTGAGAGTGCCAATGAAATTTTGCTGTTTTATGTTTATACAAACATATATAAAAATTATATATAAATAATAAATAAAAACATATATAAACATGTAAGACAAACACAGAGTAGAAATACTTTGATTGAATATAAAAAATATATTTTGAATTGTATAAATTCACTTTTCCACATCCTAAATGTATTTGTTAAATGTAAACAATGTTTGTAAATCCCAGGCCCTGAATATGATCTCATTAAAGATCGAAACGTTGGCACGATAAAGAAAATGTTTTTCTGAAACCTACATCACACCAGACCGCATCTCACGATTTCTGAATAATTAAAATTTCCAAATTTTAATACCTTCTTGAAAGAATGTTCAAGAAAACTGACTCATTGTCCCCAAATGAATCAAACAATAAGATCAAGTAATTTTTAAAGAGAATTAGTTATTTTCTTGATTTTTACTTTTTTTATTATTGTATGTTTTTCATATTTGTTTGGGTCTGAATAAACTTATTTTACGTTTTTCCAACTGTACTTGCAGCAAACCAACCATGAATTAATAATTAATTTTTTGGCCAGTATGGAAAATAATGTAATTAAATGTCAACGTTACATGCTTCTAAGGTGTAATAAAACAGATAAAATTGAGACGCACAATCATTTTTTGCCAAAAAGGTTATTAAGACAAATTATTGTTTATAATTGATTTTTTTGGACTCACACATACGCTTTTAGTTGTGTAAAGTTATGTATTAAATAAACAACAATCTGAAGACCTCAGGTAAAATTATAGGACATTGTAGGTACAAAAATCATGTTCCAGTGGACACATCTTGCATACTTTCAACTTTCTTTTCATTTTTTTTATGTTAATTTTTGGAAGCCTTTTATTTAGATTTTAGGAACATAATGAAACGACCATTCTGATTTTTCAAAAATTTATTTCTTGTTCTTTGCAGTGTTCAATACTTGATCGAATATTTTTTGTTCGTGCGAAATTGGTATAATTGACCTTCATGCGCATTTTCCTTACCATATTCGTCTCAGTTTATAAATTAATTCCTAATTATACCCTTTAAAAATGCCAAATCAAATTTTAAATACGGTCTAATTCTGATTTCACGCTCGTTTTTATATCTCCAGCCAATACAAATTTCAATAAATTCCTGCTTATATAAATATCGGCAATTAACTAAGAATCAGCACAGTACCAAAATGTACGTCCTAGGAGTTGCTTTATTCACCTTTGCATCCTTAGCGCACATTTCACAATGTGCCGATTACTGTAAGTTGCAAATTACAAAGTTAAGATTTTATTATGGTTAATACTATTTTTAATTATATAAATGTAACATTTTTAAGAGTTTTTATTTTATTATATTTTACTTGTATTTTTATTTTGTGGGGTTGAGTTAAGATGACAGTAGGTACTTTGATTTGGAAAAGACTATCTTATCAAAAAATCTGTTAAAAAATTAAATGTTTTATATTAATCCATGTTGCTGGCTGTGACACTTATACAACAGGTTCTTTTGTTTTCTGCTTATTTTTATTATATTATTTTTGATTTTTTTACGAGGGTTCGCAACAGCAGAGGTCATATAAACCCTCAGAGTGCCGTTGTTTTTGAAAAAAAGCCCATTTGTAAGTATGTAATGCAAGACCGCTGGATTCGAACCCAATTTTTTTTTTTTTTTACTATGGATACCAGGAACTGGAGGAGTTCCCTCCTGAGCACTGCACTTATTGTACTTTAACCGTGGCTCCATTTTTTGGGGGCTCGCAACACAAGTGTGATTTTGAGCCCCCAGTGTGCCGGTGTTCTTCCATCGAAGAAACTCATTTTTGAAGGGGGTTGGGACCAAATTCAGAGTCGCTGAGATCTGATCCCGCTCCTTCCATTCATGAGAAGCCGAGTGAATTTCTTTTAATTGTGGCCACCGGTCCCCTTAGGCGTCAGAAAAAGTACAGAGGCGACAGTGGGGATCGAACCAATGACCACGGGATCTACTAGCCGAGAGTCTGACGCCTTAACCACACGGCTACTGCGGCTCCCTTTACCTTACAGTGATGAGCACCGTCTCAACGCCTAAGCCGTTGCGGCCAACAATGCCCCTGTCTTATGCCTATTAATTTTGTTAGTTATGCAGTTGGCCAATTAAAAAACTTGCTTTTAACTAGACTATCCTCTCATACGATGTCTTTGGCATTTCATAAGTGTGAGAAAACTCCAGAATGGTCGCAAGACTGTCGTTTATAAAATTCAGCAACAAACCATTCTCTGATCCAGTTAGCACAGTCAAACTTAAACTATGTACCTCTCTCATTCTTCCTTTATTATTATTATAATTATCGTGGAATTATTTGAGATTTTAAAAAAATTGTGAGTTGTTAAATTTTATAATTTATGTTTGCAGATTCAAGTCTAGTAATTGACTCATTGCATGATTGTCCGGAAGAGAATATTGGCCAATATTTTAACATGAGAGATCTAAGATTAAGTATAAATGGTGACCACTCAGTTATAAACGGAAGATTTACTTTCAATGGGCAAATGCCTGGACAACATAACGTTAGGGTGAGCAAAAAAAGTATCTTAACTGAAGTTTGAATGTAGTGAGATGTAATTCTTTTTGGAAATACTTGAGGTTAAAATAGAGTGTAACCAAATTAATTATTAATCATATTAATATTACAAATATGAAAATATATCACGAGACAGTCGACAATGTGTTGGTGATGTTTTAATATTATTCACATTTTCAGTATCTTCCAACAGGAAATATCAATAGTGATTTGAATGATTTTTTTAATGTAAAAATATTTCATTGGGTTAATTATTATTCGTAATGTTGAACAATTAGGCAGTACTAACTGTGGAAAAGTGTAATCATAAAGCTTCACTAGAGACTTGCGAAAAGGTATCTGACTTTCAATTCAACGACCCATGTTCAACTTGGCACAGCAAAGGGAAACTTTGGTCTAGCGCAGTAGCAAGTGTATCACCACGGTTAGAATGTAGAATGAAGGTACCGTATAAAATATTGTTTGAACTAAATATTTTTTGATTGATTTAATTTTTTTTTAACCAGAACAATGTGTACACGGTGAACAATTGGGTAATCAACGGTGACGTCTTCAAACAAACAATACCTCAAGCTGAAAAATTTTATTGGAGACTCAAATTGAAGTTGTATTTTAATAATCAACTGCGATTGTGTGGAAAAGTGACTGGTGGATTTCAGAAGTTTCCAGGCAGAAGGGGCTAAAAACATTGAATAATATTTTCATATCAGTAAATAAAATGGCGAAATAAATTTATTATACATATATATATTTTTTTAATTTTATTACCCATTTATTTTCTTGTCTCTTAAAAATATAAATTAATGTTGAAAAAGCAGCCAACATTGTACCATTTTGGTAAATGTACAGAAATTTGTAAGCTACAAAAAAATCATTCATGATTTATTTTTCCCCGTTTATAATACAAAAAAATAATTTATTCAAAATTTTTACTCATTCATCTGGTGCTTTTATAAAAGTACACATGCATATTTCTAAAAAGTGTAGAATACTTAATACACTTGACAGGACACTCAAGAATCAGCTTCGGGAAAATACTTAAAGAAAAGAGTGTTTTAGAATAAAAAATAGAGAATAATTTAGCATAAGTTTAATTGTGATATGAAGAAACAACAAAAGGGAATAAATTTTGCCTAATGTAGTTATAATACTGACACTTTACTGTGGTGGCTAAGTGATTAGAGCGTCCGACTCGAAATTGTCACTAATGATTCTGGATTCAAATCCTGTTTGACACCTCTCATCCATGACACCCAAAAGGAAACTTGTCATCCACACAAATTTTTCTACCCTCTGATAAAAAAATTTCTCCTTTGATGTATGAAGTCATTGCTGATCCAGATTGGACTGTGTTGGAATTTTCCAGATGGCGAGTAAAATTCTCTCCTTGTTTTCATTTGTTTCAAATTGTCTTCTTTGTCAGCTTTCCTTACTAGTGTAACAATGGTGTATTAATACTATTTCTGGACTTTATTACTAACCATTTCCAACTTGATTTGTCGATATAATACAAATTTCAATGCTATTTTGTAGGGATTAATGCTACAAAGATTTTTTTTCTTGATTTCTTTAATATCTTGCCTTTAAACAAGAAGTATTCAAAGATGTTAAAATACAAGAAAATTAAACTGAAAATTTTGACTTTTATTTGAAATATCAGTAAGTATTCATAATTAATCATGAAATAATGTAACATGATTTGTAAGCTGCAATAAAACAGATTGAATTGAGAAGCATAAACAATTTTCACCCAAAAAATATATATGGAGAAGCATATTATTGTTTATATTTAAGATTTTTTTAGTATGTGTTAAATAAACAGCAATCTGAAGATCTCTACTTAATTTTATCTTTTGTTTAAAATAATGACTAAATGGGTAAAATTATACAACATTATATTTTAAGAAATTTGTAAACTATAATAAAACATTAATCCATTTATGTTTAGTGGTCTAATTGACTGAATTACTTATTTCAATTAATTTTTTTTTAATGTAAGGTTTTGGTTGAGACGAAAAAGCTAATGTCACGAGCGGGATTCGAACCCACGACCTTCGGCTCAATTTGCCGCTGCTTTTACCACTTGGTCACGATAGCTCAACTGGTTAGACCAGCAGCATAAGAATAATTAATTGATATAATAAAACAGTTTAATTTTAACAATTTGAACAATCAATTTTAATATAATGAAATGATTACAATTAAGAAATTTTTTGGAGTGTGTCCTTATACAACTCCCTCACATGTACACTTAACATACTTTCCATATCAGACTAAAAACAGCTTCCAGGAAAAACTCCAAAACTATAAGAATAGGAATTAGATGAAAATACAACATAAATTTAATTAGTAATACACAAATGAAAGGTGATACAATTTAGAATATATTCTGCCCAGTTTAAAATAATTTTATTGTGGAATATTTTACTCGACAATTTGGCATAACATTGGAAACAAGATGGAAAAATGTAAAAACAGATTCGTGCTTCCTGATCTTTATCAGATTTTAATTCGTCCCTATGAAAAGAACAAATGCAGTGGTAACATTTTATTCCATTTAAATGCGTTTCTATCAGTTATTCGTGTCAAATTGGTTCAGAAAATAAAAATGCTCGGAGCAGCTTTATTCATCTTTTCATCTTTTGTACACATTTCACAATGTGGAGACTTCCGTAAGTTGTACTTCAAAATTAGAACGAATGGAAGAATATTTCATGTAATCACTCAGAAGTTCTCTTGTAATTAAGGTGAAAAAGCTTTTCAGTTTTGATTAGGGTTTTCAGTTCAGAGGAGTACCTGGGAAAGTTTGATTGTCTAATCTGATTGAGGTGTTCAGTGAAATTAAATAAAAATTAAATTATGAAATATTACAAAAGTCATCAGTATTTAGTGGAAAAGAATGTGGTCCCAGTAGATAAGAGAGAAGTTGGATATAGGAAATGAAAGAAATGAAAAGAGGATGGTATTTTTCAGCATCTTTGACTACATCATCATTATCATATTTTTGAATAAACAATCTTCTTAAAAACACAATATCAAATTGAGAATCTTGACTCGGTGGTTGTGAATTTTGTTTGATTAACAAATTTCCAATGAAGAAATTTTTCAGCACAAATAATAGTTATAAATGGTAGCACTGTACAAATCTTAAATTTAACTTATTAAATTGGTGAATTATTTTTGCAGATACAAGTCTAATAATTGACAAATTGGAGGATTGTCCAGAAGAGAATATTACTAAATATTTCAACATGACAAATGTTGTTATAAATATAGTTGATGAACATACATTTGTAAATGGACAAATTATATTCACAGGGGAAATGCCAGGTGAACATAGTGTTAAGGTGAACACTATTGTCATACAATACAATAAAATAAAAATGTGCTTAATTTGTAAAAACAGTTATTTCTTTAACTGAAATTCCAATATCAACATGTATAAAGAAATGTAAAAAATGTTACATTCTGCAAATCCTTTAGATTAAATTATAACACAAGAAATAGATAAATATATAATTTGTAATTGAAAATAACGACTATGAAAATAATGGTATAAAACAAAGAATATTAACGATTTTACTTCACTTCTTTTATAGCTCACTTTGTACATTTGTTGGAAATATATTTTTTTTAAATTTTCATTATGCTAATTATTATTTGCAATGATGAATGATTAGGTAGTAGCGATTGCGGAAAAATGTAAACATAGGACTTTACAAGCCACCTGTGAAATAATATTTGACTTTGCAGTAGTGAAAAATCTATGTACAATATGGAATGAAAAGGGGAGAATGTGGTCTAAGTCACTGGAAAGTATTTCACCTCCGCTAGAGTGTAGAATGAAGGTACACTGTAAAATATTGTTTCGATTAATTTTTAAAAAATTTATTTAATTGTTTTTAATCAGAACAATATCTATACGGTGACCAATGGGACAATTGATGAGGACATCTTCAGAAAAACAGTACCAGAAGCTGAAAAATATTATTGGAAACTCAAATTGAAGTTGTTTTTTAATAATGAACTGCGAGCATGTGGAAAATTAGCTTGTGGATTTCAAAAGTTTCCCGGCAAAAAAGTAAAAAAACATTGAATAATATTTTTATGGCAGTAAATAAAAACCTGAAATAATTTGATTAAATTTTTTATTTTATTTTACAACCCATTTATTTTCTTGTCTCTTAAAAATATACGTTGAAAAAGTAGTCAACATTGTGCCATTTTGGCAAATGATTAAAAAAAACATTAACGTTATGGTCAACTTTTGAATTATTTTTCTTAAATTAAAATTATTAATAATTCTGCTTGTTTAACAAAATCTCATGGATATATTAAGCAAATAATTCATTAAATTGTATAAGGATGGGTATTATAAATACTACAAGCTACCCAACAACATCCACTTACAATCCATACAATTAACATGTTCTTGAGAAGAACTGATTTATTTATTTATAAAAGCTAAGCTAAAAAAAAAATAATAAAAAAAATAAGCTCAACATACACATATGTACAGAGTTGAGCCTATCACTTCTCAGAGAATGACCTGCTTCAAGTTTTGGCAGCCTGGTGTTTGACCTCGTTCTTATCCATCCAGCCACCAAAGTTATGCTCCAGCGGCTGACAACAGCAAAGTCATTTCAGCCCCAATCTTACTCAACTTCTTTCTTATTTACATAACATAGACTTAAGCAGGGTGATGGTGTTTAGAATAATTGAAATACTTACCTTAAATTATTTGTTTAAAAATTTCTTTCAGTAAATTAAGATTTATTAAAATATATAATCGATTATAATTCAGTTTCACATAAACAGACGTCCAACATTATTGTAATAATTAAAATAAATGACACTATTAAAACACCCTTACTTTATTTTGTAAAGTAATTCCTGTCATACAGAGGGCTTATTATCAATTAAAAATCCATGGGCTCTTCCAGGATTCGAACACAGAACTGCTAGAGTGGCAAATATTAGTCAGACACCTTAACCACTCAGCTATCGCTGTCCCCCCCCCCCTATTTTATTTTATTTGTTCTCATTTTTGAAAGAACAGTTAAATGTAATAAATCACAAGGTACGGAAATTGTAATCTACAAGATTAAAAGGTTCAATTTAATGATGAATTTATTTTTTCTATTTGTAATATTGTAATTTGTCTCAAGCTGGTACTCCTTCTTCTGGTGAATTTTAAAATACACACATATATTTATGAAAAATGTAAAATACTTAACATATTTTCCTGAATGGACCAGAAATAACTTTTTAAAAACATACTTTATGAAAACGAATGTTTTAGACTAAAAGTCAACATAAGATTAACGATGATATGAACATACAAAAAAAATTAATAAATTCATTCCTAATTTTGTTATAATCATTATATAAATATTTTGATTGCAACAAAAACAATTTATTAACAGGGCTGGTGATGATCGCAGGCCATAAATATTCAAACTACTATAATATAAATTGTATTTTCCCTCTAAAAAATATAATTTCTGTGAAAAATCGTTTATTAGTATTAAAACTCCACGCAATAAAGTGAAAATTAGGTAAAAAGTTGAAAAAACAGATCCATGCTTCCTCACCGGAAATGGCTAGTTATCTGATTTCAACTAGCCTCTATGAAAAGAATGAACACATTGATAGCTTTTTTTTTTTGTTAATATTTCCTTTTTTTATATCAGATTTTATATCTTATATGTTTTTAATTAAACAAACTTCATGTTAGTGTAGAAAACAAAAATGCATGTAACAGCTTTACTCACTTTTGCATGCTTAGTATGCATTTCAGAATGTGCAGAGTTCCGTAAGTTGACCTTCGATATCCAAAAGTTTAACTTTTATTAATATTAACGGATATTTTGTTTGTTTAATGAATAATAATATCATATAATTTAATAATATTTGAATGAAAGTGGTTTTTTATATATCAAATTTACAACAAAAAAAAACAAAAAAAATAAGGCAAAGGATTCTCCATATTCGTTGGGCTGTAAGAAAAACCAAGATTCGATATATATATTGATAATTTGATGTTACTTCCGATAATTATTTACTTGATAATTTCAATAAACAAGTAAAACCATTTTGTAATTGCCTCGACAATTTTCGGTTCCAGATACAAGTCTAATAATAGATGATGTGCTAAGTTGCCCGGAAGAGGGTGATGTAATGAAAGATTTCGACTTGAAAAATATATCTCTAACTATAGTTGATGAACAGACGTTAGTAAATGGAAATTTTGTATACTCTGGTGAAGTGCCAGGAGAACCTAGTGTCAAGGTGAATACGATGGTCATACAATACAATAAAATAAAAATGTACTAGTTTGAATGAAAAAATTATTTCCCTAAAGTTCAAATCACTTCATATAGGAATGTAAAAACGTTATGTTCTGGAAATCTTTTGCATTAAAATGAATTATAAGATTGAGGATTAAGGGTAAATTTTCAAAATAATACAGAACAGTAACAGTTTTACTTCAAGTTTGTTATGGTTTGTACATTTAATGTTAATATTATTTTACTATTAATTAAGGTTTTTAGTTGAGATAAAAAAGTCAATGGCACGAGAGGGATTCGAACCCACGATCTTCGGCTAGATACGCCGCTGCTCTACCACTTGAGCTATCGTGACCTCGATCCACTCAGACACCAACTTCCTATCTCAACCCCACCTTTTGAGTTTTTCCTCCTTTTTGCCATTTTTCAAATGTCGTGGGATCGGATTGGATCAATCAAGTGGTAGAGCAGCTGTGTATCTAGCTGAAGATCGTGGGTTCGAATCCCGCTCGTGCCATTGAATTTTTTATCTCAACTAAAAACCTTAATTAATTGTAATATATTAATTGGTCAAGCAAACCACGAAATTAGTGAAGTTAATATTAATAGTATTTTTTTAATATTTCGTTTACTAATGATTAGGTAGTATCGATTGGTGAAAAGTGTAAGCATAAAAGTTTACCGGCTACATGTGAAAAGATGTTTGACTTTCAAATCAACAACCTATGCAAATTATGGAGGAAAAAAGGTCAAATTTGGACTAAGCCATTAGAAAGTGTAACACCACCACTAGATTGTAGAATAAAGGTATGCTGTAAAATATTGCTTGTACTAAATATTTTATTTATTTTTTTAAATTGTTTTTAATCAGAATGATGTGTATACGGTGACTAATGGGACTCTTGACGAGGAAATGCTAAGAAAAATAATACCTGATGCTGAAAAATACTACTGGAAACTCAAAGTGAAGATATTTTATAACAATGAACTGCAAATATGCGGACAAATTTGTTTCGGATTTCCAAAGTTTCCGGGCAAAAAGGTGAAAAAACATTGAGTAATGTTTTCTCATGAATATAAATTTTTCTTTGTTAGTGATTAAAAAACAGAGATAAATTGATTATATATTTTTTAAATTATACATCCCTGTTGTTTTACTCTCTCCCACTCCCTAATTTTTCAAAAAATTATGATTAAACATTTTTCAAGCAAAATCTAATAATATAGGAACAGTGGAACATGCTTTCATTGGTGCAAAGGCCTATGCATGATTCCTACTACTCCTGGGATAGGAAAGGTCAAGGCCTGAAGGATACACAGTTGCCTTTAACAAAGTTTTGGTATCTTATAAAAATTCCTAATTTAATAAAGAGCTCTAAATAATATGTAACAGCAATTGCTCAACAGACCAATATTGGTCATGTATGTTGTAAAGAGGCCGATTCCTAAAACCTTTACCTTTACATCAATTTAACTATTTTTCTATTTTTCTGCATGGTCTGGGGGGGCAGTGATAAACTTATAATTTTATCAATTATCTCACACGTTTTAGCATTTTGGCATCTTCAGTGTTGAGTCGATTAAAAAAAAAAGTTAAAAAATTAACAGATTGAAAATACATCTGACAAATCAATATAGTGAGGATTGGCAGACCAGAATGATCAATAAAGACCGAATTGCAAATTGCTTATTTTTTTATATACCAATGTTGGAACTGAAATTGGGAAATGTAATAAGTTTTGTCTAATTTAATGTACATACTAAAATATATTTTTTCAATTTTATTGGTGTTTTAGGTTTTAATTTTGTTCAATGATGTCAAGAAAAAAGTTTAAAATAATGTTAAAATATATAGAGATAAATAAAAATTCATACATAACATATAATTTATTTGTTTTTTATATTTAATTACTTTTCTACGTGAATTTTTGGAACAATCAATTGTAAAGAATCTTCCATTCTTTTATGCTTCTTTTTCATCGCTTCTTCAGTCAGCATGTTATGCTTTTCAATGACTCTGTCTTTAATACTTTCCATCTTCCCCTTGAAAATATTATAAAACGGAGTGATATCCATGACTTCGCGTTTGTTGACTTTTCCAGCCTTTCTGGGCGAATACGCGTACCGGCTTTCGTTCCACAACGAATGCGGAACAAAGTTTTCCTCTATTTCCCTTATGTCTTTGCATATTTTAGTCATTAGATTTTTGTACGGCGAAATCACATACAAATGGTCCATTTCGTCCGAACTGTATGAGTTCATCAGCCTCACAAGATTCGGAGAGTATGGAATCAGAATGTGCCTTCGTTTCGGCAGTTTGGCCAGCAAGTAGTTTTCATTGCACATCATCCTCTGCTGGTTGAGGACGTCTATGAGGTACACTTTGTTGGGCAGTTTGGTATCTTTCATCTGCATTATTGGCCGGATAGTTAAACAAGATAATTTGCACGAGCTTTCAGCAGGCTCTAACTCATCAGCGCTGTCTTCTTCTTCTGACGACTCAGCATCCACACAAATTTTATCCCTTCTTTCTTGTCGTATATTACATTTGGGCGGTTCATAAGGTGACATCAGGATCTCATTGATAAATTTTAATTCTTCAATTTTCTCAATTATTTTGTATCGATGTTCATCCTCCTAAAAACATGCATTATGCAAAATTTAATATAACAATATTTAATGAACTTAAAAAGTCAAACTTCTTTTATAATATAAAGTAACAAAATTTAATAATTTTTCAAAACTTACCAGGTAACAGTTTAAAATAAATGAAAGGTCCACAGCCTCCTCTTTATTTCCAGGCATGGCGATGCAATCGTTCATAAAAGATAAGTATATATTAATTCCTTGAGCTTTGTTTGTGATATTTGTTTCTAAGTCTTGAAGCTCATACGGTGACATTTTCAGTGTATTTTTCTTTTCTAAGGTTTCTTGTTCTGCAGAGAATTCACTTTGTTCTGAGGGTACAGGTCGAACCATATCAGAAATTTGTGATTCTTCAATAGCTGGTAGAATTTCTGTTTGTTCTACTTTTTCTGTTTCTACTTCTTCATCTGGTCGTACTTCAATTTCTACATCTGACGAAGGGTCCTTTGTTTTCCAGAACGATGTACCATATTCCATCCAGTAGCAGATCCTCGCAAAATCCTCATCTATCGGTGATACAGCGTGCACGATCGATTCACAAAAATCGGGAAAATGTATAACCGCTGAGGAAAAGTAAAAAATTAAAAAAAAACCACAAGATATTTAGTGTGTGTTTTAAAGAAGAAATTACTTTTAGTGTAACCGTGTAAAATAGACACTTCTTCCATTTGTTCTGCGTAGTTAATGGCGTGGAATATTTTTTTGCTCTCTCGGAAATAATTCCTTGCTGTTTTAAACATCTTCTACAAAGCAAATTGTTTAATTTTCACGGAGTTTAAAATTTTAATTTTGGACTCTACCTTGGAGAGAAAATATTCACCCAAATGTTTTAATGCTTGGGCTTTGTGTGCTTTGAGGCCGACTAAGGTAGCAGTGTCGAGCATCATCAGAAGATATTCATATGCTTTTCTAGGCATATTCATCCTTAAAAAAATAAATATTTATTTATTAAAGATATAAATTTAAAAAAAGGCTAACCTTGCAGAAAAATCAATGTCCCTGATATTACATAGGTGAGAGGGTATGATTCAACACATTATATATTAACAGCTTTGTATTATGAATTTATTGAATGATATTAATAAATTATTATATAATAATAAATAATTAATAGAATATTATTTTGAAGTTTGGGCGAAATTTTCTTCTTTAGCTTTGGTTGTATCTTTAAATTAAATCCTGAAAATATGATTTAAAACGCTTTTAGATCTTAGCAAAATGAGTCAAATCAGGATGAAAATACTAATTTTCATTTGCAACCCCTCCTAAATTTATAAATTGTTTCCACTCAAATTGGTGATCATGATTTACCCTTTTACATCTTTACATTTTTATATCTATCAAAAAGCAAAAACGAAAATATAAAATAAAGTTAAAAACACACCTTCTGTAACAGAACGCCAGGTAGAGAAAGCAGTTGCACAAGTTTTCATTTTCAGATGGTGAAGTAACTTTGAAGTTTTGAACAACATCAATAAGAATAACGACAGCCTTGTGTGGCATGTGTATCTTGTTGTATATCAACGCAAGTTCCATAAGAGCTTCAATAATTTCCTGAGTTGTTCCAGCTGGAATATTTTGAAGTAGGTCAGAGCACAGAAAAACTTTGGTAAGAATATAGTAATAAAAAATAATATAGTTTTTTTTTTAATTAATTGAAAACTTAACTTACTATTTATAATTTTTTGAACACCATCTTTAATGCAGTCTAGGGCAAACTGAGGATCTTTATAGGCCCACTTTTCTGTCCTCAATAGTTGTATAACATAAATAAGAAATGCTGAATTTCGATGGATAAAATCCTCTGATATGCTGGTAATGCAGCTTGTTGACCAGGTTTTCCCCAAAGATAGTTCATAAGCGATAAACAGTTGGGTGTAAGCTTCATCCAAACGTTTTACTAAAAAAATTTTTTTTTTAATTGAAGTTTTTTATTTAGAACAGTACAAGCCAAGATGCTAACTTCGTTCTAAAAGCACTCTGCCAAAAAGATATCTAATCACGGCTTCGCAATAGTTAGAATCCCAACTTTTGAATTCAGTCACCCCTTCTAAAGCGAGCAAATAAATCTCATACACAATCCAAAGCCAAGTATCATCCCTCTCCTCGTAATGAAGAGCGAGATAAAGCATGAGCGAAAATCCCTTTTCTACTTCGCCTACAAATCAAAAGTTAAAAAATCTTAAAATTAAAACTCTGGATATCAATCAACCTTGTATCTTGTAGTATTCTCGGTATTTCAAAATTTTTGACAGAAACTCAAGTTCATCGGGACACTGAGATAACGGTTTTCGGTTTAAGACTTTCGCATCAAAAAAATACGCTTGGGCTCGTTGCATTTCACTTTCTATTTTGATAAATGAATTTATTATGGACAGTGTCTCAGTAAAACCATCCTCTTCAAGCTCAAGAAGCAGCCATTCTTCTTTCTTTGTTAAAAGCCTTTTAACAATAACAAGTACATCTTGGACAAACATGTATGTACAAGTTTAAAATATATATATTTTACTTCTTATTACATAGTACAAAAATTTTATACCAAAAGACCTCTTGGGAAAAATTAAGGGATTAAAGTGGCCATAATGGTTATTGTGTCAGACTCGTCATACTAGCAGATAGCCCATGGAAATTTAATTTATAATATTATAAAAGGTGCTGTAGAGTTTAGACCCATCGACCATGATAACTAGTGGGTAGATGGATGTTAAACCACCCTGTGTGACAGGAATTACTTTACTTTTACATTCAAAATTTTATTTTTTTTAAACCATCTTAACTCTTGTGATCGGATATATAAATATTAAATGGGTTGCCAAACTTGGAACAATTATTGAAATTAAACAAAAATAATTTAAGATGGTTAAATATTTTCTAATTTAAGAGCAACAGTGAATATCACAAGTTTGATTTTTAAAATTTAATATTACTGCGATTTTTGTAAGTAATTGAATGCAAAATCAACACATATTGTTATCAGAAGCTTGGTTGTTTCCGACTATCTTATCGCTCTGGTCATTTTTATAGTATTTAGTGATGGTTAATTAATGATTATTTGGAGATCGTGAGATGCGGTCTTGTGTGATGATCGTTATTCATAAATTTCTTTGTAACCGGTACAAAATGTTTAGTTTAGTAGTTTCTAGTTGTTTTGCTTTGGTTGTTCATTGGTTTGCTTTCCCTTGCTTGTCAGGGATATAAGCAGGTCGAGGCAATGATACAAATACAAGCCCAAAACACCATGTTCAAGAAATCTCACAACTTTGTTTTTATTTCTTAGTGATTCGGTTTAAAAAAATTGTACGATTTCCAATAAATTAAAAGTAATGCAATCCCTATAAAAAGACATTACCTCATTACCTTCTTTTCTTCCGTTCAGTCATGGCTGGCCTCATTATTGCAAGGATTCTGCTCTTTTCCAATATCGCCGTCCTGTCAAGCATGAAACGAGGCTCGGGATGGATACAGAGGTTCTTCATATTATCGTAAAGGTACGTAGTGCTTTTTACATTTACTACTGACTGAGAAGTGATGGCACGACACTCGTCCTAAAATTGAACAATGTGCAATTTAACATTTTTAATACAACGGTAATAATAAATCGCTTACATCTTTCTTTTTCTTTATTTTCCTTTTAATCTTGGGTAGAGGACGCATCGGAGGGTCTCTGTAGTCATTTATTAAGTGCGGCTTGAGTTCAGCAACGTCCACTTCCTTCTTTTTATTCCAGTGAAAATTTCTGGGATATAACATCTTCATTTTTCTCTCTTGTTAAGTAATCTTCTATTTATAAAACATGAATTTGAAAAAATTGATAAAAGTTAGACCTCTTTAATTGATCTAAATCTAAATGAAAATTTGATAATCTTTAAACACTGGAACTCTACAAAACTACTTTTAAAACCTATTTTCTTTTATCAACAAGGCCTGCTTGGAAAGAATAAAATCAACTGTTTAATTTATTTAAAATGATACTAGTGGTTTTGATGGTAGACAAAAACAACTATTTTTCAACATGTTCTTTCTGTTTTTATTTAAAACACAATAATGTTTATAACAAATATATAATTGGATATTTTGCAAAATAAAATAACATAAGACCTTTCAGCCTTGTAAAATAAGTTTAAATGGCGAAAATAAAATTGTATTGTTATAATTTTTTTCTATGTTTAAAAAACTACAGATACAGTAAATTATAGAACATAACTAATTTCACATATACCCAGACGAATAAAAGCAATAAGAAAACATCAAATTTAGTGATTTGAGTATTACAAGCGAGTTCAAATATTAAAAAAAAGTGTAGACTATGAGATTTTAAAACCTAAATTTATCTAGTACTGTAGAAAAAAATTGAGGATAGACCTTCAAAATCACACACCTTAGAAGTTTCGGCAGTGGGCAAACCTTCAAATTCAATAACACTTTTTTAATTATTAAAACATACTATATTATCATTTTTGTTTATTCTTTTTTAAACGTCAATCATTTTAGTTCAGCATCGATACAATGATGAACACAATTACCTAACTTTCACCAAAAGTAGTTATCACACTGCCTGCCTGTGTTCGTTTTATTTAGAAATTCTAGTGACCCACATTGCAGGCTGGTGAAAGACTAGCCAAAAGCAAAATATTTTATTTCGATATAAATAAATATTCTTTTTATTATAATTTTGTACAGTTGACTCACATGAAACACACCATTAAGGTATCTAAGGATTTGAGGAATTTTTTTTTAGAGAAATACACTAATAGTGGAGGTACAGGATGCCAACACAGTGAACTTTCAAATTAGTCAGAATTAGATTTAAACCTCTCAAACCTACCAAATCCACCCGACTTTCTTTTATAAGTTTGTATAAACATTTAAAAAACTACGTTCTTTCACTTAAATTCAGACTTTTTAAAAACAATAATGTGCACTAAGAGTAATTCTAAAAATAATGACCGAAATTTCTACTATCATGAACTATTCAGCTTCAGCAAATTTCCAATTTTTTCCTTTACACTATATGCAATTACATTCAATTTCATACATAGTACATTCTCAATTAAAGAATTAACAAGAATGATTTTTTTTTAATTATCCTAAAAGCAAATGTGTTTTATCCCTCCTCAATTAGTATTTCATACACTTATTACTAACTATAAATATTAAGGCAATTTTGTTACCGAAGCATTCATAAACTCAATTTACTGATCAGCAATTTGAGATTCTTGTTATTCACACAAACTTACTTACTAACAAATAATATTCTAATACTAAAGGCTAAAATTAAAAATAATGTATGAAAATACTTTTCAAAAGCCTTTTGTATTTCTTAATATTTTTTGTTTGTTTTGCATTTCCAAAATATTCATTAAAATTTTCAACATTTTAATTTAAAAATTCATTGTCGTTTTAAAAAAATCTATTTATATGAGATCAATGTATAGAATAACTTTCTCTTTTAATTGTAATTGGTCATCAGTTAATAAAATATCTGAACTGAAAAACTAGTAATAATTTTTCTATATTAGAATAATAGTTTTAACCCTTGTGTAAAACAAATTAAATCGTTTAAAATAATTGACAAATTTTATAATATGTGCCTATTTAGATTCAGACAATAAATTTTACAAAATTGTGAACAATAAGATGACTAGAATTTAACATGCAGGTAACTTTTTAAATTTATTACAAATGATAATGACAAAATTTAGTTATTAATTTACAAAGTATAAGAATTTTGTAATACACTTTCATTCAATCCCATTGCTGGAAAGATGGAGTGCATACAGCTGAGGTCAGGCCTCACCACCTAAAAGAAAAGAAATTCTATTTTGTTTTCATGCAAAGTGATTTAAGAACAATTTTTATTATTTATTGATTGAAAAAAAAAATGTAATTTCTCACACTTCTTTTATGGACTCAGTACAACTTTAATTACAGTTTTTTCCTTATTTCTTTCATACCAAAGAAGAGAATGTTACATAATAAATTTAAATTATAAATGGTAAAGTTGAAAAATATTTCATAAAGAAGCAAGGATCTGTTACACAAAAACTTTTACATTAGTTTACAAAAAATCATGATTTTAAATAATTAATCTTTTTAGCTGTAGAGAAATTCTTGCTTCTTTATTAAATATGACTTGGCTTTACCTTTGCTCAATTTAGAACAAAATATTATGTTTTATTATTTATTATATAAAATCATTTGATTGAGACTAGGCCTTAATATTTTTTTTAAACAACTTTTTTTATACACACAAATAATCTGGATCTTGTCATGGTCTGGATGAAAAAACAAATTCAATTGTTTTCTGCCAAGCTTTGTTCTTATTTTAAGGTCATCAACAGGGAAAAACAATCTTAAACATGTCTACATAAGATTGTTTGCCCTGATGATGACTTTAAAATAGATCGAAAATTGAATATGTTTTTCCTCTTAGACCATACCAAGATTCAGATTATTTGCAAGCAAAAAAGTTGTGGATACATCTAACACTTTAAAAAGAAACTTTTTTTTATACACTAATCAAGTTTTACTTGGCATTCAATTGACACAAATTAATTTTAAGTGGACAATTTACTAAATAAGGCATGGCACAATGGTTTTGTGTTACAATGACATAGTTCTTATCTTTTATTGAAACTTTGAAGGACATTGAACTAATTTCTTGAGCCTTCTCTCTTTTACTATCAAAATGTGTCTATGAAAATATAGGATCTAAGTAACAGAAATATTGTATATATTACTTCTTTTGAACTTATTCTTTTGAAAATTTGTTGGTTTTTAAGAAATTCTTTAACGTATAATTCTAATTCGTAAACTTGTGAGTAGAAATTATTTATATAGATCAGAAAGAGATTTTAAATCATGAAAAGATTCAAACAAACAAAAAATAAATATATATATTCACTTTTTTACACACACACACCTTACATAAATAACACAAAACATCTAAGAATAATATCAAGTAATTTAAATATCTCAAGCTCTAAATATTTTCTTAAATATTGGTGTATTCAGAATGGGTGGATTTCGGTAGGTATTTATTTAAAATCTTTCATTTTATACAATTTGCAAAGGTAAATACGAATATATAAATTTTGATTTAAAATCTACAGTGCGATTCACCCATTAAATAAATTTCATTTGAAGCTTTGGTCTCAATTAGTCTCAGGGAAATATTGTAGGTTTACTTTCATAATATCAACTCCAGTCACACCTTTTACCATTTCTGGCACCTTTGTGACAATGTCAAGAACTTCTGATGTAATTTTCGCAGCTCCGACCTCGCCCGAACCGCTGGACACCATCTTGATCTTTTTAGTTTGAGACAAGGGCGCAGCAACTTCTGCAGCAATCTAAAACAAACGGGATTAAACATTTGTAGTATTTGAGTACGTTATGCGTGTACCTTCGGTAATGTATCAAGAAGCATATCGACGATCGCAGCCTGCCTGTATTCCCTGAACGCTTCGGCTTTCTTAGCCATTTGCTCAGCTTCTGCTTTTGCCTTTGCGTATATAGCAGAAGCCTCAGCTTCTCCTCTTAGTCTTATCGTCTCGGCCTCCGCTTCTGCTTCCATTATCAGCCTCGCTCGGTTTGCCTCAGCAAGCTTCTCTAACCTTTAAAAAAAGAAATTATAAAATATTTTTTCTACAAACACTTTTATTTAAGAATTTACTTGAATTTTTCAGCTTCTGCCGGTCTCCTCACTGTGGCTATCAACTCCTTCTCTCTTCTTTGCATTTCTTGTTCCTGGACGGCAATTCCTTGTTTCCTCTCTACTACACTAATCTGCATCTGTTCTTCTTTTATCCTCTGTCTCGTTTTTGCCACTTGAAGTTCATAAGCCATTTCTGCTTCTGCTTTCTAAAAAAAAATGTTTTTTAAATACAATTCAATCCTGAAACATTTAAAATTATACCTTCGTTTGAACTTCAACGTCGTAGGCCGCTTTTTTAAGTTCAAAGTCTCTTTGAGCCTTGGCAATTTCCGTGTCATTCAGGAACCTTTACAAAAATTAATAAATAAAAAAAATCATTCAGTCAATTCATCTTCATATACGCCACTCACTTGCTGGCCATTCTCTGTTCTTCCGCTATTGCTTCCTTGATTGTCGCATCCCTCTTCGCTTCAGATTCACCTATCCTCGCGTCCCGTTTTACCTCAGCAGTCCTCGCCATGCCCAGACTCTTTAAGTAACCCTGAGAGCAGACAAGTGAATAGAAAGGATGTAATTCCATTCAATGTTCAAAGCAGTTACGAAATTACATATACATCTAGAAAATGGTTGGCTGAAATAAAAAATTAAAACCAAGTTTGCTAATTTGTCAATAAATTTTATAACTTTTATGAGTTATCTAATCTGACGGAAGCAAAACATAACAAAAACTTTAATAAAAACAGGCTAAAAATTAGCATGTGAGTATGATGTGCTAAAAAATTATTTATTTATAAGACCCCCTTGGTATTTCAAGATCAATACAGACAATATTAACATTAATTTATAAAGCATATTTTGCGTTTGCAAAAGCACAATTAGCAATTCCTTTCATACTTACAAAAAACCTGTTGTGTTTGTTAATTATTAAACCATTTTACAAGTATATAAATTATGTTTGTTCATAACGGTGAATGCTTAAAACAATTTTTTGCTAAAATAAAAATTTGGAGCTGTCACGTTTACTGGATTTTTACAAATGCTTTATGTATTAAAACATTAAATTGTAAATCAAAATGTATACAACTCTTTTGTTTATACAATTTTTATTATAAATTGTTGATACTTCATAAAACTGTGAATATTTGCATTTTATTATCTAGTACTACTATTAGAGTAGAATGGATAAAAAAACTACTGAAAAAGTATGGGAAAAAAGGTCCAAGTGTGAAGGCGGCAGCTGAAGATATTAGTGAAGCAGTGGAGGTGGAAGGGTATTGGATTGTAATACATTTAAGCGTTTCAAAGCTGAGAGAATACCAGTATCTAGTAAATGAGGTCGATGAAATATATTGAAAGTGAAAGCCAAGATTTGTACCCCATTTGGGCACCAATAGAGCTTCAGATGCCACCATAAGCTGCAGTTTTAGAAAATTGAGCCTAGAATATGACAGTAAAATTCATCAATTCACCCCAAGATAAAGGATACCACGCACACACAAATTTTCTATAAAATCCAAGATTTTTGGAAAAGAATCGTTGTAAAAGAAATAAGTGAATATTTCTGAAAAATCCTATCTCAACCATAAATAGTGGGTAATAAAAAGCCTAAATTAATTTGTAAAAGAGATAATGTTTGTCGGAACTAAAGAGTTATTTTCAATTTTTAACTAAAAAATTATTTAATTTTACACCATATACAACCGAGTGACAAAATTAGAAACACACCCCTAATTGTTATGATTTTTTAATGTAATGGGTTTGTATTACAAATATTTATTCAAAACACATGAAATAAATATTTTTCTTCATTAAACTTTAATTTTTCAGTAAATAAGAAAATACTAAAATTAAACGATTTTGTCTGCGACAAAATTATAGAGACATGGGATAAAATCAATTTAAAACAAGGTTATATTTTGTGGCATTACCACTCAGTGTTATTATTTCCAGTAATCTTTCTGAAATGGTTTTGTACAAATTTTGAATAAAATCTTGAGGCAAATTATTCCAGGCAGTGGTGACAGCTGTTTTAAGTTCATCGAAAGAGTTGTACTGCTTACAATCTTGATATACCATCCTCGATAATTTTCCCCATACATTTTCTATAATGTTCAAGTCTGGTGAGAGTGCAGGCCATTCAAGTTTTTCAATGCTGTTCTGTGAAAACCATTCTTTAATAATTTTTGCATTGTGTATGCGTTGTCCTGCTGGAATATTGGAGTCTCTTCGCATAAATCGCTGAAACTAGTTTTTTCTTTGTCCAGTAATTTCTTGTAATATTCCGAATTGACTTTTTTTGGAAGAAAACAAAGATTCCCTTTTTTATTACACCCAATACACCCCAAAAATCATCAAAGATCCACCATCCATTTGGTGCCGTGAAAATTTTTTTTCTTCTTTAGTTAGATCATGAAAGTAATATGCGTATCCGCCCAGGCCGTCCAAATTGAATTTTTTTCGTCAGAAAAAATAACTTTTCGCCAATAATCTTCATTTTTCAAAATGTGGTTTTCAGCAAATTTGACACGGGCTAGTTTGTGGTGGGGTTTCAGAGCTGGTTTGAGTTTCAGTTTTCTTCGGACTATGTTTTCAGTTTTTTAAAGGAATCTCTGAACAATTCGAACAGAAACATCAACGCCTGCCTTCTCTACGATGGCTTTTGCAGTCGAAAAACTGTTTGAAGCAACGCACAGGATGTGCGTTTTGTCTCTTCTGGTCAAGGAAGGAGGTCTTCCAGAGCTATGCCCTCTTCCGTAGTCTTCACCTAGTCGTATTATCTTTGATACCGATGAAAAACTTAGTTTTATGCATCGGGCAATATCTTGGCAGCTCATTCTATCTTCATTGAGCAAGTGAATCAACCGGCGCTCCTCATCAGAAAATCTTCTTCCTTTGGGCATTTTAAAATAACTTTGAATTGCTCCAAATGAACTCACAGTAACTTTGGAGTTATAAAATAAACGTAAACAAAATGTGTGTCTGTAATTCTGTCGCAGCTAAATCAAAACAATTCTGTTTATTGAGTTGTACATTACTATAAGATTATCAGATCAAGCCATTTCCAGAGTTAATTTTCTTTTAATATCACGAACAATATTCTAATGGCAAAAGAAATCATTTTTGACTGTTGAAATCGTGATTTTTTAATGTGTCTGTAATTTTGTCATTCGGTTGTATATATATGTCATACCTTATCCTGACATTGCATCAGTTTACAAGGATATTTTTCAACCAAGAAAATAATTAAAAACTGACAGCTTTAAATATTTTATCCCGTCATACTCCTAGTTTGCCTATTCTTGCTGTTTTTGTCAACAGCTTTTAAATATTTGATCCCGTCATCATCCTAGTTAGCCTTGCTGTTTTTGTCAGTAAGGCGTTTCATCATTTCACCTTCTTTAGTGGTTCATATATTGTAAAATGTTCTTTTTATAAAAATAAAGGGGCAAACATTTTTCAACACAACCTTTGGAAGTTTTAATCTGTTTTTTATATTAACGTTTGCATGGTCCTTTATTGTTTTTACCTAGTACAAATTACTAGCCATTTATCTTATAAATGTTGAACTTGTTCCTCTGATGTATTATTAATAAAATTTTGCTAAAAATTTATTTTTGAAACCCTTTTGCTATTTATTTATTTTTTTAAAAAGAAGGTAGTTCAACTACGAGGTTATAAAAACCCTCGAGGTGCTGTTGTTTTTGAAAAACAAGCCCAGCCAGCCAAACAAGAACCCGGGACCTTAAACAACCACCAACACCAGTAAACCCTTTTATTTTTTCGTTGCCTGTTTTATTGTAAAACTAAGTATGATTTCAAAGGTAATTTTTCAAGTAGAATCTGCTAGTGCTGGGCGTATGCCCACTTCTATGATTTTATATGAGCGCCTCCTCCAGGGTTCATTATTCATAATTCTTTCTTGTATTTAATAGATTTTGGAGGAGTTTATGGTCTATTTGTCAAATAAATTCAGCAGCTTTATGGACTCATGGATGTGAAATTCAGCTGGTATAATTGAATCTCTTGTTTATATATTATGCAGAAGAAAAACTGTGAGTAAATCCTTTTCGACTCAAGTAAGTAAATTGAGTCATGTACGAGGTTCAGAACCACTTTATAATAATTTCATACTTTTTTACATCCAAATACTATGGCCAACCCAGAACTGCTCGTGTGGCAAATATGTATCAGACAGCCACAAATCATTTGGCAACCCCTATGATTTTTATCTCTAGAAAACTCGAAAGGCAGCATATAGTACAGTATATTCTATTTTACACCTCCTTAGCCAATGCAAATACTAAAAACTTGCAAAATTGACAGAATCTAGATTCTGCCACAACTGCCTTATAGACCACCTGACCTTCCTATTTTTTATGGAGCACCACCTATTATATGCATATGCTGGAAGAAATAAAATTTTGAGTAGAAGATTTATATGTAAAATAAAAGTAATAGCATGTGAAATGGTCATTTTTCATTTCAATTTTTTTTTTAACTTACCCTAATATGTCTTGTACACAAAACAAAAGCTATTCAAAACTAAAGCCTTGAACATTTAATAATTTTAAAATTTAGTGACTGGTTTGAAAAAGAAGTGAAAAAGCTTTTAAGAATCAAGAGACTTCGATAACACACTGTGAAGAAGCAGGCATGCCACATTCAAAAACAAATGGAAACTATATAAACATACCTTAGCACCCTTGAAGCAAGACAAAATATAAAATAAACGTTTTTATATTGAAAAAAATAAAAAAACAAAAAACAAAAGCAAATAAATTTAATAGGAAGCACTACCATACATCTTACTTTATGAAATAAAATTGATTAAGATAATAAAATTTGTCATAAAAATAAAACAGGTTTTGTTTTGTTTAACCATCAAAACAAAAATATTTTAAAGGTATAAAATAAAGTGTGTTATTTATAAGTACAAAATTTATAAACAGAAGCCTTTTTTATTCTTAGGGCAATAATTTTAAACAGCCTTTTTTGAGTTTTAATCTCTACAAAAGCAAAACTAAAACAAAACTAATATTTTGAATAAAATAAACTCCAATGTGATTATTTGATTTGTTTATTAGTGTATAAACTAAAAATACTCACCTCTTCATCACGAATGTCCTTTAAAGTATAAGAGACAACTGTTATTCCCATATTTACAAGGTCGGATGAGGCGACTTCAAAAACTTGTTTGCTAAATTTTTTACGGTCTTTGTAAATTTCCTGGAAATGAAGAAATAAGTCAATATTGTGAATAAAAGCAAAATTAAACAAGGCGATAAAACTTACTTCGACTGTCATACTACCCATTATGGCTCTTTGGTGGCCTTCTAACGTGACTAAAGCAATATGCTGAATTTCGGAATCGGATTTACCTAAAAACTGTTCGCAAGCTGCTAGCAGCATCTCTTCGTTTTGGCCTTGAATTTTCACCTTGAAAAGAAACGACAAGTCAAAATTGAAATGGAAACGCAATAACAACCGTACCTGAGCAATTCCTGTCACTGAAATTGGTACGCCTTGGCTTGTGTAAACAGTAGGGCTTTCTACTTGAAGCGTCATCGTGTTTAATGATATCCTACAAAATATAAAGTCTTTAATTAAATCAAATATCAAGATGATTGTATTTTTCTTAGGCAAACCAATTTTTATGTGAAATTTAAAATGCAAGTTTACAGTAAGAAATTAAAGCTGCACTTCAGAAAAGATGCCTTGTCATCTGGTTTGATCCAGTAACCCAAAGGTTAAGAGTCGAGGAGTCGGCCCCTTTTGATCTACTAATGACCAATATTGGTCTATTGTGCATCTCTATTACTATCTAGACTCCTCCTTAAGCTCAAGGATTTTCCATCCCAACCAAGGACCAGATCCCAAAGCTTTATTAAGGACTCCTGCGTACATTTTTCATGCTCTGGAGTTCAGGATTCTCAGCATAAGCCTTCACACCAACAGAAGACATGTTCTGCTTTTTCTTTTTCATCCTGGCAATATCTGCACAGGCTTGTTTCTGCTGCACCGAGTCTATCAGCCTCAGTTGTCTACGATCCAACTATTATTCTAGTCCTGGCCATAGTCCTGCATAGTTTGCAATTTCTGCTTAAATACTTTTTTTACTTAGGAACATTCTGGATCAAGGCATGGTCTTGAAGAATAAAGTAAATTTAGTTGCTAATGCCAAGCGTTACAGTCCTTGGCAATGTTAGGACTGAATTGGTCTTCAAGGAAATTTGAAATTTAAAAAAAAACACTTAAATATGTCAATCTGTAGACATATTTAAGGTTGTTTTGCCCTGAAGATGACCTTAAAATAGGTCGAAAGCTTGGCATTAGCAACTAAATTTGCTTTCTTCTTCTTAAAGACCTTGATCCAGAGTGTTCATTAATTTCTGTGATGATCCTTTGAACTTTTTCAAATGCCTATATTCTGGACTAAAATCCTGTTGAAACAAGGAATTATACCTAGTAACCCAAAGAATTATCACAGTATTCCACTATTTGTATGCTTGGCATCCTACAGAAAGTTACTAATGATATGGAAATGATGGTAAGAATTGAGATGTACAAAATAAGTAAAGAAACATTCTTGGCAGCACCATGCAAAGTCTTATGATGATAACGATAACTATGACAAGTATTGCACTAACGATTATACATATTTCTTTGTGAATATTTCTTGTTATTGTGTTCTTGGCAATTGGGATGGTTCATGTTTAATGCAAAATTGATAAGAAAATTGGCCGGCTTGACTTGACCTAGACATTATATAGAGAAAATAGTATAGCATATCATTCTGAGGGCCACCAGTCATACAAGGGTAAAAAAAAAGTCCCTGAACACTTCTGGTTTGCCCAAAATATGAGCTCCAAATTTGTTATATGTTATTGAAATCAATAATTCGTTAGGCAAATCAAGTAAGTGACATTTTTCAATTGTAAGATTGTCTCGATATTTACTTTTTTTGTCTATATTATTTTTGTTTACAAATACACTTGTAATGTACATGCCTAAATTAAAAGGTTTTATTTCTCCTCAGTTTCAGTTTTCGACTTCTTTAGCTGTGTCGAATAATTTAATATGTATTCATGTCTTTGGATGAAACACATTTTGGGGAAACGTTTACTTTATGAATTTCAAAGAGCAATGCAACTGAAAATTTGTGTGAACTAATGCTCGTATAGTCCTTTGCTTGATTAAAGAAGAAAATTTTGTTCTTGAAGATGATGAGCACAATGAACAAAAAAAAATCCCTTTTTGATGACCCAAGAAATGTTAAAGAGAGATGTTAAATGTTTCCCATACAACCAATGGAAGCCACATACACTTGGGTTTGTTCAAAAGCATTTTATGAACACTACAAGATTATTAAAAGATTTTTCAAAAGTTCAACATCATAAATGGAAGTTATAGCAACATAGACCTTCAGTCATCAATAAAGAGGGAGAAATTAACTGAGTAAAAACAAGAGGAAATATAATTGGTAAGTACTTTAAAAAGGAATGGACCGAGTAACAACCCCTGAGGTACACCAGACAAAACTTCTATGTATGTATAAACTATTGTAAAGATTTTGAACAAATCCATATATTTATTTAGTATATCACAATTGACTGTATTATTTATTCAATTAATTATACTTTTTATCTAAGGTCTTGGTTGAGATGAAAAAGCTAGTGCCAAAAGTGGGATTCACTATCTGTTTCAGTACATTATAGCTAAAAATAATGCTGTTTGTCCATTGTTATCATATTTTCAATGCTCTGTTCCTTATCAACTAAGGCTTGTATCACACTTTTATTTCCACATAAAGCAAGCCGAAGGTCGTGGATTCTTCCTCTCCTGCTTGTGACACTAGCTTGTTGATCTCAACCATAACCTTAGATAAAAAGTACAGTAATTAAAATTCAATTCTAATTTTTCCTCATTTGCGGAATGGAAAAACCCAAAAAATTATCTCCAAATCAAGACTCTATTTTAATCTAGGTGTTGGAGACTTTTTACTGGGTTTTTACTGTTAGGACAAAAAAATGGAGAACAGATCATTCCTGGTTGTAATGGTGAAAAATGAGGCTAGATTAAAGTTGGATGCGTTGGGGGCTAAAATGCTTAGCCTCGAAAGCCCCTCTGGTTTGGAAGAAACGATCTCCCGGGCATCTGATGATTTAAGGGAGGTACTAGGGACTCAGCCACATGGCAGGATTGGTAAACTCCCCTTAGGTTTTTTTTATTCTTGCTTTAAGTTAATTAATTTTTATTATTATTTCATCTTTTCCCTTTGTGATTATAGATTTTCACAATAATTTGAATCAACACACCCTTTATATTTTAAGTTTAATGAAACCATAATTTGACAATATGACTGATTAGAATTTACAAATTTGTTCAACAAGTCTAAATCAATTATAAATTTTAAAAATTTTTCGTCGAATTTTGTGATTAAAACGTGTTCTGTCATGGGCTATTTTTCTCCACTTAGAGATAAGATATAGAACTTCCTTGATGAATGCTGATCTTTGAGGCTCAAACAGAGTACAGTCATAGATATGCATCCGTGTTTGTCATTCGCAATAGCATGGGCGCCCAGGGTCATCGATGATCTTAATGTGATGAAGATATGAACAGTTTTTACCATGCCGTGTGAGGGCCATAATGGTTTTGAAGAAATGTGATATTTCCATTCCTAGTCTTTATTTTGCATCAGGAAAAAAATAGCTTGGTTATTGCAGCACTGCGTTGTCCATTCAATTTCACACTTTGCCATATTTTCAAGGTAACTTTTTGGTGCCTTTACAAAATTGATATCTATTTTGTCATCTTCTACAGCCTCCTTTGCCACAGCGTCTGTTAGTTCATTCCCCGCATATGCGATGTGCACTTTTATATGTAATGTTATTTTCCGTCCTGAGTTCCCAAGATCTTTCAATTTGTTGTTTCTTCATTCAGATTTAAATTTGATTTATCTTTGATCGTTTTCAGTACTACCATACTATCTGTATGCATTTATCACAGTTATATTTGTCGTCTTATCTTCTTCTGTATTTATTCATTTTTCTAAAGCCACCAAGACTGTGATAAGTTCTGCTTTATTATAGCACCAAAAAATTTCAATTTTTTAATACAAATAAGAGTTGAATCTTTATAGGCAGCTGCTGCGCATCCCACACGTGAAGAACTTTTACTCCTGTCTGTAAGTTCATACTCTGGTCGTGCTTGCTCCTTTCCAAGTGGCATTTTCAATCTCAGCCGGATGATTTTTTTCCATTCCAATAGGCAAATTAGTTGTGGATAAAGCGTAGGTGTTCCTTTACCTGCTTCATAGATATCTACTACTTCCTTAACTTTGAAGTCATTTGGCATTCCTGCCAGTAAGACTACTGCTTGATTGGATATTGTCCGGAAGACTAATTATATGTAGAGTTCCTTCTGTCCCATAACATTATATTTTTTAAATTCCCTAATTTCGTGGTCCGCTTGACCAATTAATACATTACAATTAATTAAGGTTTTTAGTTGAGATGAAAAAAAGTTAATGGCATGAGAGGGATTCGAACCCACGACCTTCGGCTAGATACGCNAGAAATCGTGAGATGCGGTCTGGTGTGATGTAGGTTTCAGAAAAACATTTTCTTTATCGTGCCAACGTTTCGATCTTTATTGAGATCATCTTCAGGGCTTGGGATGTACAAACATTGTTTAAATTTAACAAAAACATGTAGGATGTGGAAAAAAGTGAATTTATAAAATGCAAAAAATATATTTTTTATATTCAATCAAAGTATTTCTACTCACTCAAAGTGTTTGTTTTCTGCGTAAGTGTGCCATTCTTGAGTGTCGTGTTGAGAGTGCCTGTGAGATATTGCTGTTTTATGTTTTATACACTGGATTTTGAAGGGGTGGGGAAGGAAGTCTGTATAGAAAGACATTTTTGTGCAAGAATGGCACACTTACGCAGAAAACAAACACTCTGAGTGAGTAGAAATACTTTGAATATAAAAAATATATTTTTTGCATTGTATAAATTCACTTTTTTCCACACCCTACATGTATTTGTTAAATTTAAACAATGAATAAAGATCGAAATGTTGGCACAATAAAGAAAATGTTTTTCCGAAACCTACATCAGACCAGACCGCTTCTCACGATTTCTGAGTAATCATCGACTAACGGTCACTAATCACCACACATATTTTTTATTTAAAGCATCAGATCAAACAGGAGCTCCATATAAAATTATGGGCAAAATTGCGTTTTTAAATTTATTTCTAACGCTCCTATTCCAAGACCCCAGTAGACTTTAGTCGACTTTGATGATATCATCTAGAGTTATCACATCAGGGAATGACAACCCTTCAGGGTGAAGGCCCAATAGGGAAAAATGATTCTTTGGGTTGTCAGATAAATTCAAAATACAGTATTACAGTAAGAAGATTTTTATCTGGTATTTCAGTAGTGTTTAAGTCACAACAAACGCTTTGTTTTTGTTATGAATAATAATGCAATTATAGTAGTTGGTACGAATATAGAAAATTCGGGCTTTACCTTTGGACACATTGTAGGGAAGGCCAAACAAAAGCCCGTCCGCCGGGTACCAGCAAGGGTTTCGTGTGACAACAACCTGCAATAAATCGGTCAATTAGAGTCGAACGATGAGCTTTTGTGAGGCGGTCCGGGGCCGGAAAAGGGCCGAGCACTTTATTTACACACAGAAAGCTCAGAAGAATCGTGGCAAACTCACCGGAGACGACCAAGGCCTCGTTAGGACCGCAAGTGACAAAACCCCAAGGCATTATTGAAGGCGGGCCGGGCTCATACAAATCGGTCGACTACAAAACTACCGAAATGGAAACTAAAACAAAAATATCTGTCAAAGCTGGGGGAGATGCGAGGAATGGCGACGCAGACGCACAAACGACCTTTTGCGTCGGCAGCTCGCCCAGTAGGGCAAACAACCATCGGCCTTCAAATTATCGCCTGCACCGGGGAAAAGACGTTTCTCTGTCAGAATTTAAAAAGTTGTCAAGATTTTCTCTCAATTTCAGAATTGTTCGACTTCAATAATTTTCTGGCCTTCAGTAGTTCGCCCGCCAGCCGGCGAGATGTCAGACGAAAGTAGAAAGCGGCATATTCGACAGGCCGGCCAATACGAACAATCAATTTTTTTTGCGTATGAAAAATGATCTACGCTCAATTTATGAATTATTCATGAATGCCTGCAATTTCCGCATTTAAACCCAGCAGAACCAACATGATTATAACTCACTGCCCAGCATCAATGGACCTCTAGAGAGATCTAAGCATAAAATATGATCATTAGTGAAACTGGCTGACAATCCACTCCCAGAATCTAACCAACTTTATTAAAAGCATTTTATGAGCTTCAGTGATATCAATGGTATATGGATCTTGCAAACACGCGCTCCAGACTTCAATGCAAATTTTAAAATCAATTTAACCATGAACTGTCTTTCAAATTTCACATTGGAACCTAATTTGCACTAAAGCACATCGATTACTAGAATTTATAAGGGAAAACCGAGACAGCTCCTGCACCTACCTGGGCATTCGGGGCCACCAAAAGGTTGGCCAAAGAGGGAGCCATATGAACTCTCTAGGTCCTGTACCATCTTAAAATGGATTCTTTAGTAAGACCAAAGTTTGGTAGAACAACATTCCAGCCATGAGGCACGTGGGCCACCACAAAACTTACAAGGGACTGGAAGGCAACAGGTTTCTGGTTGGACTCCTGATAAGACACAGCCACCTAAGAAGGCACATGCAGATAGGAGTACAGGCAGAAACACTGCAGATGCTGCCAGGAAGAGGAGACTGTAGAACATTATGTTTTTTTTGTGAGGGGTCTATATAGGTAGATTCTATTTTAATTCAGTTAGGATAGGAAAAACCGCATAAGTACTCTACACTAAGGAGCTTCTGGCAAGGCTATGGAGGTTGATTAGCTGATGCTGACCAGTACGTCATAAAAAGCAGTAACGCAAGAAATCTACTCAGGTTGAGGTGCAGAAATCCTTGTGGCTGCTTCTTTTATCCTTATCCCTTTCTCATTGGGTTACCAATTAATTTTTTTGGTGGTTGACCAAGTGTTATACCACCAATAAGGGACTAAAATAAAATATATGTTCAATTACAGTTTTTAAAACCATATTGACGACATTCCCCTCAACAAATAAAGGTGGAAAAATAATATATATGTATCAGTCGCATAGTCCAGGTATAAATACTTTTATTTAAAAAAAAAAAAAAATGGAAATTACTGATGAGTGTGCCTTCAGATTGGGGATTGTACCATGAGATTTCTCTATGTTTAGTTTCTGATGATGGGCCAAGAGCCGAAACGACCATGTAATTTACTAAATTGAATAAAGGTTTTCAACCACGGAGAACTTGGAATTTTTCAACCTATCAATAGAGAAGATATGAACCGTGGATTTGGTAATATATAAAATAAGATGAATTAATTTTTTGTAAATTGTGGTACAAAAAATTCACAGAAATATTTATGACAGGTAGTATGACATGTTAAAGAAATTTTTTACGATTATATCAAAAAATTAATAGACACATGCCAATGAGCCAGCCTTAGGACCAGAGAAAAAAACAAAACATTTTAGCTAATTTAAGTACATTTTTAAAATATGGTTTCCTGCCTTCGTTGAGCATGAATTTTAAGGTTATTATGGATCATTAGAATTGTATTAATTGAATATTATGTATTCATTTATGTAGAATAACATGCCAGATTGTATTAATTGAGGTTAAATACATTTAAAAAAATTAATTATGGTAATGATACAGTGAAAAATCATTTAGTATTATATTAAAATTTAACAATTTTTTAAATTTAGCTTTGCCTTCAATGCAATCATGAGGAAAATCCCAACCAGATTCTTCCTGTATCAGTTTTTATGAAAAAAAACTTCTGTAGTTTACCATCTAATTCTATATGCTATATATATTGTATAAACATTAAAATTTGTTAGAAAAATATTTTAATAATAAATTTAAAAAATGATTATACTAAAATAGCAATGCATTTTCAAATAACATAGTTATGTATGTTTTAAACTGCCACATTATTTTAATCATGTTTTTTATTGAATTTTTAGCATCAGGGGGCTGGATTGTGATGGTTAATTCCATACGTCCAGGCTTTAGTCAAAGAAACTCAATTTTCTTTCAACCACTGTTCAATTTTTAGGAGGAACAAAGAAATAAAAGAAAAGAGATGTTTTGCAAAAAGCTGTTTTTTTTTAAATTTATTTATTTTTGTTTCCTGATCACTCAACATATCTAAATAACTTTCTTCTCATTTATTCGTATCAAACTCAGCTTCCTTTATTATATACAATTAAAAAACTAATCGAGTAATTAAATTAGTCTTATGTAAAATTAAAAATTTACAATTAACAATAATAAGGAAAATTCATGTTGATTTTAATTGATAAAAGACGGTGCAAACTGTTATCACATATGTGAAGAAATAACGTATCATTTGAATAGAATAAAAATAACTCAAATTTGAATACAATAAAAATAATTCAATGCCGAAATTGATAACATTAATAAAGCACCAGTAAGAATTAATTAGATAATGTGAAGAACTGTTTAATTCAAACCAAAACAAAAATAATAAAATCAACGAGATCAATATTTTAGTGCATTTAGTTCAATCGTTAAATAAAGGGCCTACAAAAGACCCCTTACGAAATTCCACAAAAATTGCAATTAATTGAAGTGATGAATAAATTAAAAATGTTATATTTACATGAGCAAACAATTAAGATTTGGTTGTTAGCTTAACATATCATTAAAATATAAAGTACTAAAAATCGCTATCACCGACCGAATTTAAATCAAAACACTACAACACAAACAGTCGACAAAATAGCACTTAGACCATAGATCACAATATCGTTTGGTTATTTCTTCATTACAATTTAAAATACCATGATTGCACATGCTGTGTGAAGTAACAATTATTCCATTTAAAGCTAAATCTTAATAAGACACCATTTTTAAACATCACTATTAGTAGAAAAAATAATGGTAATACTCTATAAATAGTATTATGGAAAAACAGGCAGTTTATAAATATAACTAATGTAGTTTTATTGTTTCAGCGGTAGTTGGAGGCCTTTAGCTTTCATCTTTGCTTCTAAATCCCTATCTTCCTCTTGGAATCTGAAATAAAAACCAAAATGAGTAAATACTATATTAATTAAATAAATAAAACAATAATTTTAAATGATTAAAAAATAATTTTAGATTAAAAGCAATGTTGTTAGTTAAGTTACAAATGCTCGATTTAAGCTGACATGATCACACTTCTGTACAACAAATGATTTTTCATAAAAACTATAATCTTACCTAATACATCTGGGCTGTCTTTATGGGGGTTGAATTTATTTTCATGGGATGTTATTAATAATGTTTGTCCCAATAATCGACAAAATAACATGCACAATAGTTGCAGGAAATTGTTTTTAGTAAGCTGCTGGATGAGGTTTTAATTTTTATTTGATGAAATAATTCAATGTTATGACCCTCGAATTTTTAAATTTAGGATGTTTAGTTTGGGCTATGTCATTTGTCTAGTCATCTATCAATTCTGCCTATATTTGGCCTTCTTCAAGGGGAAGATATGTCAATATAAAAACTGTGTATGGTGTTTACTGACCATGATTATTTGGGGATGGTGAGATGCAGTCTGGTATGACGCAGGTTTTAGAAAAATATTTTCTTTATCGTGTCAATGTTTCAATTTTTATGAGATCATCTTCAGGGCTGAAAGTGGTTGTTTTCCGTGTAGATGTCATTCTGTGTGTCATGTGCCCCTCGACGACATACAAGAATGACATCTACATGGAAAACAAACACTTTGAGCCCTGAAGATGATCTCAATAAAGATTGAAACGTTGACACAATAAAGAAAATATTCTTCTAAACCTACATCACACTAGACCGCATCTCACAATCTCCGAATAATCATAAAACATTTTTTTTTTAATTTATTTACCTGTGCCAATTGTTACGATTAAGTAAATTTGATAAAATTAGAAAATAAAACGTAATGAAAGAAAAATATCAAATAAGAAAAAGGAGGAACTACTCATTAGTATTAGCAATAATTGCTTTTACTATCTCTTAGGAGGTTGCGAGGCAGTGATCTTCAGTCATCAGGGAGTATACTTGGAAGGGTGCAGGATGAAATTCTGACATGAGGGTTTGTATGACAGGATAATTGTTTTTTAAATTTTTTGTAGTAATTTTTCGCTGATATTAAGGTCCTTGTGAATGGTAAGATTGGATACATAGAAGCATTAAAGATTGTATGGAGGATTTTGTATTGTAAGGACTGGTTAAGTTTGAGTTTGAAATGTTTTGTTGAACCCCAAAGTTCCATGCCATATGTCCATGTACGCCCAAGATAATGGAATTCATTAGCTGGGACGAGGATACTGTTGTAATAGTTGGAAACTGTGTTTATTCTGCAAAGGGTGAAAGCGGCATGTTAACATTTTTGTATGTTCATTATTTTCTCCTTTAAGAGATGTGATATGGGTTTGTAGGTTTCTAGTTTAGATGGCAGTATCATCGGCACAGGTGGTAAGGATAGTTTCTAAAAGGGTAAGAATGTTTGTAGTGTATACTGTGTAGAGGATGGGCCCTAAGATACTCCCTTGTAGCACTCTTGCATCTGTGTGATAGCCAGTTGATAGAGAAAGGCCATTGGATGACTTTAAAGTATCTGTCGGTTAGGTAGGATTTTAGTATCAGATAGTAGAAAAAAGATCTTAAGTCTTCTCTCTCTTAAGTTTCTGAAAGTGCCATTTTGATACTCATGAGAAATTTTTACATAAAAAAATTAACTGTCATTTATAAATTTGCAGTGTGATTAAGCATGCTCCAGTTTTTTCTTCAAAAATTGACTCTATCTCTATTGATTTTGGTGTCATTATGTGATTTTTATCAAAAATTAAATTGGTGATATATTAAAAATTACGCTGTTATATACAGTGGATATTGAATTAAAAATAAGCAATGATTGTCATTTTGATTTTTCATACATAGAAATGTTTTAAGTTGAGATAGTAGATCTGATGTTGTATTGGATCTTCTTGAGGTCATTTTATGATAATATAAACATAAACAAGATAACATAAAATGACCTCAAGAAGATCCAAAACAACATCAATTTAAACTGCGTAGGTCGATCAACGTCAACTAGAATATAATAATAATAAAAGTTAACAGGATAACTGTAAATGCTGTGAGCCAATTCAAAAAAACCCATCACCGATTAATTAATCTTTTATAATTATAATTAGTAGGAATGATTATTTACGTTACTGTTAGTTTTTTTTTTTTTTTTTTTTTAAGTGTAATGATTTGTTAACATGCTTTTGGAAATAAATTTCATGCAAAATAAATAACATAATGAATAGTGTTTCTAAAATAAAACCCATGATAATAGATGAAAATAAATATGTATATAAACAAATAAATAAGTAAATATATTTCTAATATATAATAATTTAAAGGTGTATCGATATGCTTGGAAAAAAATCTACATTAAAGAATAAAGAAAATATTTTTTCTTAAATATAAAAGGAAAAGGATAGAATATAAAACAAAAACCAAAAGCAGAAGAAACAGTCATTAAGTACACCCTGAACGAAGACACCTCATGCCTTTGTGCAAAGGATGGAAAAATAAACTAAGGAAAAGTGAACGAGGAAATAGATGAGTGCAATGAAAATGCCGATGGTGTAGAAGGAGCACCTTTGTGTCTCCGCTTGGAGTTGAAGCTGAAGCGAATTCTTCCTCTCTGCTATTTCAAGCATCTCCCGCAAAATCCTGCCTTCCAGTGCCACCTCCTCGCTCGTTTTTTTACCATCTATAAAAATCCGATTAGTACACGGCAGTTCGAGACGATTGTGTGCAGTTAAATCACCATGATTTTGATCCATGAGAGATGTCAGCTGTGCCTGAAGCCTAGCGTGCCTGTGTTCAAGCTCGATTTCCTGACCACGAATGACGAGCATTTTTTCTTTGCTCCTCGCCTCGCTCCTTTCTCTTGTCAGCCGCAGCCATTCGCCCAAAAGCTCACTCTCACTCCCAGTCACACCTGCTTACATTTTTAAATGCATTCAAAATTATCAGTTCCAAAACAAAAAATTGCATCAAGAGTACCGGTTTCTTCTCCCCTGAGGGCCTTTTCTACAGCAACTCCCTGAGCTTCCAACTCTTTCTGTTTTACTTCCAATTCTTCCAACTGCCTCTGAACTTCCTGCGCCATCCGTAGCCTGTTAAAAAAAAGAAAATAATAGGCATAAATTTAGCTTAAATTATTATTTTTCTATCCAAAAATAAATTCATTTGGGCTTTTTAATACATTATTTCATGGCAGTGAGTAGAGGTGAAACAGCACTTGCTGACTAAACTAGTCGTTCTTAATGTCTAATCAAAATGAAAATAATTTAGTACTTAGTGTCATTTATAAAAATGCCTTTAAGTGAAAAATTAATCAGTGCCCTCTGCTAAAATAAGAATATATATACACATTTAAAAAAAATCAATAAAAATGAGTTGTACCTTTTGCTTTGAGCCTGCCTTGCAATTCGTCGGCTGATCCTTTGCTTCTTTATGAGTGATGTGTTGTCCCCAGAATGGGTCTCCTCTTCCGAAAAGCTATCTTCTACAACACAATCACCATCTTGGCAGTCTTCAAATAAATTAAATTGTCTTCCAATTGTTTAAAAGTCGAAGGGAACGAATTTAAACAAAATTAATACAAAATAAATTGCCATGATTAATAAGGCAAAATCCCGAATTGGATAATAAAGCTGTTTTAACATACATGAAATTGGTAATATTTATGTTTAAATTCATAAAGAAAAGAACCCCTCCAAAACTTAATAACTAAAAGAATCAAAGGTTTGATTTTAGGTTTAATTTTTAGTTTAGTTTTTTGAATTATCAAGCAATAGACTTATTTTATGACCTAATATGTATTTAAAAGAAAAATTCGTAAATTTTTTAAAAGGTCTATTCTAACAATTAAATGTAGTTTTTGTAAAAGTATCATACTAACTAATTAACTGTAGCTTTGTGTTGTAAAAGTATATTCAACAATTATCTGCAGTTTTTTGTAAATGTCCTAATAATTAGTAGTGTTTTTTGGAAGAATATCCTACTAAAATTATTAGTAACTATTAATTATCTGTTGTTTTGCTTTTAAGTATACTACTAATAAGTTTTTTTTAAAATAAAAGTATCCTACTAATTAGTTGTAGTCATTTGTAAAAGTATCTTGCAGATTAGCTTTAGATTTTTTTTTAAAGTATCCTACTAATTAGATTTAAATTTTCTTAGTTTTTCTGTGGCTTTTCTTTTGTGTTTGTGACATACATTAGAAAGCTATGGGAAAAACCACAGATTTAAATATTTTAAATTAAAAAACTGATTTTGATTTTGGCTGGAGAAACTCCATAGTTAACATGTTATTAGCTTAAGTATTTGTTGTAAATTGTATATTTTAATAACGGAAATATTTAAATATTTCAATTATTAGTAATTTTTAAGTTGTCAATTTAGTTAAGACTATTACAATTAATTAAGGTTTTTAGTTGAAATAAAAAAGTCAATAGCACGAGCGGGATTCGAACCCACGATCTTCGGCAAGATGCGCCGCTGCTCTACCACTTGAGCTATCGTGACCTCAATCCACTCGGACACCACTTCCCATCTCAAACGCACCTTTTGAATTTTCCCTCCTTTTTGCCATTTTTCAATTAAAATAATTGTAATATATTAATTGGTCAAGCGGACCACAAAATTAGTGAATTTAATGAATTAAAATGAAGAATACTTCACTAAAGCTCTCCGTGGTCATTTCATTTGTCATCGAAAATCCAATCCGATTACACGACATTTGAAAAAATAATTTCCCTGAAGTTCAAATCACTTCATATAGGAATGTAAAAATGTTACGTTCTGGAAATCTTTTGCATTAAAATGAATTATAAGATTGAGGATTAAGTGTAAATTTTCAACATGATACAGAACAGTAACAGTTTTACTTCAAGTTTGTTATGGTTTGTACATTTAATGTTAATATTATTGTACAATTAAGGTTTTTAGTTGAGATAAAAAAGTGAATGGCACGAGAGGGATTCGAACCCACGATCTTCGGCTAGATACGCCGCTGCTCTACCACTTGAGCTATCGTGTCCTCGATCCACTCAGACAACAACTTCCTATCTCAACCCCACCTTTTGAGTTTTCCCTCCTTTTTGCCATTTTTCAAATGTCGTGTAATCGGATTGAATTCTCGACGACAAATGAAAAATGGCAAAAAGGAGGGAAAACTCAAAAGATGGGGTTGAGATAGGGAGTTGGTGTCCGAGTGGATCGAGGTCACGATAGCTCAAGTGGTAGAGCAGCGGCGTATCTAGCCAAGATCGTGGGTTCAAATCCCGCTCGTGCTATTGACTTTTTTATCTCAACTAAAAACCTTAATTAATTGTAATATATTAACTGGTCAAACGGACCACAAAATTAGTGAATTTAATAGTTAAGACTTTTACAATTAGAAATCTTAATTTTAAACTCTTCCTTAAATATTTACTGTTTTAAAAACTTAATGTTTTCCCTATACCTACCTAAACTCTCGAGTCAAATTTTATTTGCAATTAGCATCTTTTTCAGCATTCTGCAGCATTTTTTTTTTAATGGAAAATAATTTCTTAACAAAAATTTATAGTACTGTAATTTATTGCAGGAAAAGGTTTGCCAAGTGTTGCCAATTGCTGTTATATGTATATTTTCTTTAGTGATATCACTTATACAGTTATATAACAAAACGACATACTTATATCAAATAATATAATCAACTATAAAATAATAATACATACGATTTTGATTTCAGAAACATAAATGATTTTGAACAACCGAGTTCTATGTATGCACTTCAACTTTATAGTCTTTTTTTTATTAATACTATTTACACAATTATATTCACAAATATTAACAGTAGACTTTAAACAACTGCACCCCATGAGGTTAAAATTAGTTGTACACCATGGATTTTTATTTTATTTTATGTGACAAGTTAAATAAGTGAGTTGTGGTAGTGCAGATTTTAATGTGATTTAACTATTTGTAATTTGCTTGGGGTGCTTCGAGTATTCAGTTTATGTTTTACGTTTACCTTGACTCGGCATGTATGACTGTGGGGGTGGAGGCACTGGCGGTGCATCGCTCTGCTTATCCTTGAAAATAAACAAAACAAAACAAAATACAATTAGAAATCGTTAATGACACGATCAATTCGGAAGCCCAACATGTCGCTAGTTTTATGTACAAACATGAGCAGAGAATTATAAAGCGGGCAAAGTGTGCCGAATATACTCGTGCTTTTCCCTCAACATTTTTTGCTCTGTCGTATTTCTCTATCAACTTACTCTCAAAAACCAGTTGTCCAGGCTCAGCAATGGTGTGTTCCGTCTTCGCTGAACAGATACAACAGAACAAAAATTGTAAAGAGACAAAAAACAAATTCTTACAATGAATTTAATTTTCTATCATTTGAGGAAGCACTTAAAAAAAGAAATTAGTTTCACAAATTCAATGTTGTACATTATTATTTTAAATGTTTTAAATAAAACACAAACCTCCATTTTTTCGCAACAAAGATTTAAATTAAATCAAAGGGGTAGAATCTTATAAATAACCACTTTTTAACATTAGCTATTTCGAGAACAAGAACAAGCTAGAAAGCAATATCTAATGTAAACAGCAAATGTTACTAAAGATTGAATATTTTTTATTGTATTTTTTTGCTATAAGGATATTAAAAGTACACTTACTCTCCTAAGATTGATATTAAAATGGGTTGTTGGGCTTTGACTAGAGGGCGTTTTTGGTGGTGAGGGTGACTTCTTATGGAAAAAGTCAGAAACTGCTTGAATAATGCTCTTCTTCCGATCGTCCTTGGTTTTTTTCAAACTGGACATTTTTTCATTGGTCTGAAAATGAAACATCAGTTACAAATATGTAATATAAACTAAGTCACATTTAAAATTGAGTACTTGTGATGATTTGGGCGTATCTGGAAGGTGTTTTTGGATTTTGAGCTTGAATTTTCGCAACTTGTCCTCTGGAGAGAGGCCCAGTTCTTCATCGCTCATCATCTTAAATTTAGCACGTGCCTGTTCTCTCAGACCACTTCGTAAATTAGGTATGGTGAGGGGTGTTTTGAACCCTGTACAAGCGTTATGTATGTCAGGTAGGGAGGATGCTTCCGGTATTCTCATTTCAGTTCTCCAGCCATTTCCGACGGTGTTTGCTCTTTGCCTTGGCCTGAATATCTGATTGATGGGGGTTTTGGGCGTGGAAACAGCAAGCGGTGTTTTGGGCGATTCTTCCAGTTTTTTTGTTTCTAAAATGGGAGTAGTGTGTTCCAAGGGTGGAGCGGAATGGGGACTGAAGTTCCTAACCCTTTTTTTCCTTTCCTGAGGTGATTTTCCCTGAGCCAGTAATTTATTCATAACCATTTCATGAATGAGATCTTTCTGTTTTGCTCTTTCCTGAGATAATTGTTCTAATTTTCTTGAAGTCGCTGGTGAGTTCAAGCTGTTGCCTTTAGGTTCAGGCTCTCGCATCTTCATTATATCTATAGAATCTCGAAGATTTACGAATGGTTTTTTATTACTCTGAAAGGGAACATAGTCAAAATCTTTATCAGCTGGGCTATCTTTAATTGTAGTCACTTCCGATGTCGTTGTTGTAGTGTCTGTTAACTCCTCTTTTAATGGATTCACAGCCTCGATGACAGGGGTTAAATCATCTTCATTATTAACAAATTGAACATAACCTTTATTTAATAAAAGTTTATTATTAGTAGAACTTTCATCACTGCTTTCTTCGCCTGTATCCATGAATTCCAGGTTGTCCAGATTTAATGGGCTGTCCTTACCACAAACATGTGTATATTCATCAAAATCCTCAGTCTTAGCGATTTTAGCAATGCCACGGGGAACTGCAGCCTGCTTTTGGTATTGTGGATTAATGAATTCCATATCATCTAGTGGCTCAGACACTCCATCCTCATCCCTTGCCCAATCGGAGAATTCCGTCTCTGTCATAGCAGTTACATCGTTCTTCAAGCTATCAGTACTGTCTGGGGAATTAGGCCTACTGTCTTCTTTATCAGCATACAGTTCTGCAGTGTTGGGCACCTGTGTCAGAACTTCCCCACCAGCTGTGTCAGTCGGCACAGTAATAACTTTCTTAAATTCCAAAGGAACAAGGTCTAGTTTATCAATTGGGGAAGGATCATTCCCTGCTAGACAAATATCAGGCATGTTAAGACTATCCATCTCAGGTGTATCTTCCATTAGTTCACCTCTTGAATTGTGAATTTCCAGTTTTGGAGGAGATTGAATGGGTTGTTCATCAGCGCTGTCTTCAGTTGAACTACTCAAATCAGAAGAGAGGGAATCGCTTTCGACCTCCTTTGTGACTTCCGTTCTTGGAAATTCGGGTACAACTATACTAGTCTCGTGAACCGGACTTCTCGTTCCACTCTGATCGTCTTCTTTCTTGTCATCTTTACGATCTTCGTTTTCTTTAAGACTACAAATATGTTTGAAATTATCGGATGGCAATTGTTTTTTCTCTAGAAGGTGAACCGGGGATGTCTTAAGTTTATCTGCACCTTGCAAGAAGGCTTGCATAGTAGGACTCGGTGCAGGAGCAGGGTTTAATAACTTCTGTTGTTCTGAAATCTGGTCTATGAGCGATTTAAATCTTGTATCTAAAGTTGTAGCAGATCCGGATTTTTTAACACTGCCCGATAATCCCGTCGGTCCTAATAAATATTTCTTTTTTAATTCCAATGATATTTTTGAAGCGATTCCTTCAGTGGACTGAGTTCTGTTTAACAGATAATCTCCTCGGTTGGGGTTAATGAGTGGAGATGGCCTATTGTTATTTACTAAATTATTCAAAGCCGGCTTTGTTTCTCTTGTTGCATTTTGTTTTAAATCGTTGTTTGTCGTTTGAATTTTTCCATTGAGTTGTCTTGTTACTATTTGTACCTGTTTAGGTTGTTCGATGTTTCCTCGTTTAACCTAAAATTTAACATATAAGTATGTAAGAATTGGTTTAATAAACTAATTATCATTATATTTACTTGAACAGTTTCACTAATTACAATATCGGGAATAGTGTGAGTTGTGCCATCGTGTTCAAATTCTGAATCTGTTGAAATTTCAGTCGCCGAATTGTCACCAGCTGAACTAACACTACTATAATCATCAGATTGTACCTGTAAACGAGAATTATTTGTAAAAAAAAGACTTCTTAAGAAGTTTTTGTTGTTGCCATATATAAAAATATTATACGACACGCACATGCAAACTATAATCAGCACTAAAAATCAAGTTGTGTATAGTGTAAATGGGAAGATTTGGAATTTAAAAGCACTTTTGAAGTATATTAAAAGCAAATGTTTTCTTTTTTTTATAACTGGATTTATAAAATCCAAGGGAGTCTAACATTACTGACAGTACGCACTGCTAGGCTTATTAGTAGTAATGAATAGCCCGTGGTTGATTGGCGTGGACAAGTTTGAGGGGGAAAAATTGTTATTGGAATTATAAAATAAAATAAAAAATAAAAACAAAAAAAAACAAATCAGTAAAGAAAATACATTCCATATCCCACTGTTTGCAGGATGTTAGTCCACACTTCACATAAAGAGAATTTAATTACACAGTAAACCTCATAAATACCTCAACGGTTATGTTTTCTAAACTGAGAACACCCGCGCAAATCACCACAGCTAACTTAGTCCTTCGGAAGGAGATGGAAAATTAATTAAAAATGAATTTTCTCTTTCAAGTCTTTCAGGGGGGGGATGGGGTAAAATTTTGGAAATGTCTATTTGTAATAAGTAGAGATAAGAGGGGTGATTATGTACAACAACAAGAAGGCATCACCTCCGTTTCCGAGCCCGACTCGCTATCATCATCTAATTGGTCGCTTTTCTTCAAATCTCCATCGTCTTCCATTTCTGTCTCGCTTTCATCTGAAATTCAAAGGAACAGTCAGATTACACATATAATAAAAACTATAAGTGAAATAAAACAAAATATCATTAGACAAATTTCAGGTAGATGTTTTTGTACATTAATCTCTTATTGTATAATTTCTTATACATAAAACATAAACAAAGGAATACTTAAGGCAAATAATATTTTAATTGTACATCTTGATACTTTAATTTATTATATAGTTTAATTGCAATTTGTAGACTCCATTGGGATTTATAATCATTGTTCCATATGGTAAAATATTATTAAAATATTCACCCTATCCAAACTTACATACAAAAAGTTTACTTTTGTTCTCTATTATGTATAGATAAATTAAAAAATAATAAAAATATAAAATAAAATAAAATTTAATTCATTATCTATTATATTGATTCTATATAGTAATTTCTAATTGCCAATCTCTGATTAGGAAACAGTAAATATCAGAATATTGAAATAATCGATCTGTACCAGTTTTAATCTGCCTGCAGGTTACAAACTAGAAACGTTTTTCTGATCAGATTATTTATTTACGAGTAAAACTCCATTTCCACCAGGAAGTTAACAATCATGTCAACAAAAGAGGTGCTGATTTATTTATTGGCTGGCTTCTAGGGTTATATGAGAAGGTAAGCGTTAACTTTATTAAGTAAAATACTCTTAAAGATATTTCTTAAATAATCTTCATGAAAATATCTCAAAAGACAAAACTATTTTATTTTTTCTATCAAAACACTTTTTTTTTTCAATTAACTAGAACAAATAGGACAACAGATTCCGAATAGTGTATTAGGCATTTCTTGCTTTCGTTTGATTTTAATCTCAAATATGGGTAGACCTTGTGAGTCCGAAGAGTAGGCGTATCTCCTTGTCCAGTCCTTGACCAGCCTGAGAGTTTCTTCTGGATCGAGACCTCCATCTTCCGCTTCAGCAAATCCATCATTTTCATCACTCGAACTATCACTAGAAAGAAGAATAAAGACAGAACATTTTTAAAAATCTTCATTACTAAGTGCACAATTTTTTGTAAACAGTAGATCCTTGGTTTACGTTGTTTTGTTATTAGGTCACTTCACTTTTATGGCAATATTTTTATTTAAGGTCGTATTGTTTTTTTACTGTGTAACTCGACTGACTGTCTCTTGCTAACATCATTTTCAGAAGCTCATTTTCTTTTCATTTTTAAAATTACTGTAATGTAAAAGTTCCGTTACAGTGGGCAGTTTTGTTATTTTTCTTTATATGCTAATACTCAGATAATCCTAGTTTAATGTTGTTTCCTGGTCCCTAATCACGACATTAATCAAGGACTTACTGTATACAGATTTATTTTAAATAAAAATACAAAACAAAATCCTACTTATTAACAATTTACAACTTTAGTTTTTCAAAAACTCACTCATTAAAATTAACAAATAATCTTCTAATGCGGTCATTTAACCGAAAAAGTTTGTGACCACTCGATTACAAATGTTCTTTATAAAGGTTTCACAAGAGTCTAAAAAGCCCAATCTGAAAATATTGTTATATGAAGGTATCTGAAGGAAAATTCAGGGAGGGAGGGATTTCTGAGAAAATTACCTGTCTGCCGAAGTATCAGAGACGTCTGTAGTGGACAGGCCGAAATTCCTGTCGGTCCATTCATCTTCCTCGACTTCAACGCAGTCCGACAGGTTTTCAAATTCAGCCCTTTCAGGAGTACTGATATCATCTATGGGCTAAAATAAAATTTTAAATTAAAATTGTTAGATATTTAAATTAGATATTTAAGACAACAGGGCCGTACTTGTTCTTCTTTGGTTTGAATCGGAACCACAGGAGGTTTCTTAGAGGTCGGCTGTTGTTTAAACTCTTCCCTCGTCGCACTCCTCTTCGTTGTACCTTGGAGACCAAAATGTTGAACACAGTAAAATTTATACCCAAATTTACCTTCTCGATCGAACGCATAATTTCCTTAAAAATAAAATGAATAATATAAAAAATATGTACAAAAGGAAAACTCTTGAGTCAATCTTAAATTACCTAGCCGAAGGGAAGTAGAACAATATTGGCACCTGAAACAACCTCGATGGAAAAATTTCCCTTCTGCGTTAAGCCTTTCCATAAGGTAGACTCGTTTGTTGCAAAAATGACACATTTCACTAGCACCCTGTGTCGGTAGAACTATACCACTTGAACTCTTACTAACCTAAATATTTTCATTTTTAATTAATTAATTATTTTTACATAAAGTAAGGTTGATATGAAGTGTCATGTGCTAAACGTTTTCCTTATTAACATGTTGACTGCAACCTATGCCTGGCCATTTTGGTTGCCTAAGGCAGAACGTAATTTATCATGTAAAATATCTCTGGTACATAAAAATAACGATTATTTGGAGATCATGTGATGCGGCCTGGTGTGACATAGGTTTAGAAAAATATTTTATTTATCGTACCAATGTTTTGATCTTTATTGAGATCATCTTCAGGGCCTAGGATTTATAAACATTGTTTAAATTATACAAATACATGTAAGGTGTGAAAAAATGAATTTATACAATACTAGAAAATTTTAGACTCAATCAAAGTATTTTTACTCACTCTAACGTACGTAAACATAAATATTTAACTGACACTCTCAACACGACAGACAAGAATGACACATCTACACGGAAAGCAAACACTTTGAGTGAATACAAATACTTTGATTGAATCTAAAATTTTCTAGCATTGTATAAATTCATTTTTTTTTATCTAAAATTTTCTAGAATTGTATAAATTCACATATTTTTAATCTAAAATTTTCTACAATTGTATAAATTCATATATTTTTCACATCCTACATGTATTTGTAAAATTTAAACAATGTTTATAAATCCCAGGGCCTGAAGATAATCTCAATAAAGATCGAAACATTGGTGCAATAAAGAAATTGTTTTTTTTAAACGTACGTCACACCAGACCGCATCTCACGATCGCCAAATAATCATTGATTAACGGTCAGTAAATACCACACACTTAAAAATAATATAATTGATTTTTTAAAATTCTATTACGTTTATCTAGTGATATAAATTATAAGTTAATGAAGAGGCAACCATTTATTCAATATGTGTGTAGTTGGATAGACATTTCATTTTATTTTAAGCAATCATACAAAAATGGGTACGTAATTAATTAAAATAACAAAACACATAATCAGAACAACAAATTAAACGGTTTTCACAGAATAAATAAATCACTTTCGAAAAAAAAAATTGAAATGACTTTTGCTCTTTCTGAGGCAGCCGTAAGAATTTCGAACGGAATTGTGTAGTGAGTAAAGTGTAGGGAGAGTTTAAAAAGTACAAACAGGAGGGCACATACTATCGCATCTTACACAGTCAATGTATTAAAGAATGTTTAATAAGTAAAATTGGGATAACTTACATGAGTGACAGCAGGTTCGGGCTGGCGATGTATTGTAGCTAGATGAGCGGCCATCGCTGATACTTTGTTTGCACCCCGCTGTCCTTGTTCCAAGTAAATACCTTCTTTGATCTTTCGACCGATCTTCATCATATTATTGTCTAACTCACTATACTTATTATCAAAATCTATTTTATTACTTTTGGCTTTTAGTTTTCGTTCCACTGCAGAAACCTGATACAAATTTTCCATTTTAAAAGAAACTTTCTTTCATAAACAGTCACTTTTTTTTTTAATAACTCACTTTATCCTCAAATTGTTGCTTACTCCATTTTGGCACTTTTTCATATTTCTTTCCCCCTCCTCTTCCCATTCTGTTTTCTTCTATTTTTTGCTCTATCTGCTTTACATTCCAATCGCCTTTTTCTATTTTACCTAGGTTATAATATTTAATTACTATATAAGGATATTTTATAGCATTAGTTCAATCTTCATCACACAGCACCAGACATTCGGCATTTATTTGACACTAAATAAGTAGAAGTAAGAAAAATTAACCCAAGCATCAACTCAGGATCTGAGCAGTTACTCATAATTTGCCAAATACCAAATGCCTTTATTTGTGAGATTAATTCACAACCAAGATTGAAATATTAATTGAAATAAAGGTAACCACCTATGGCTCTGAGAAGATCTTTTGGCTTTTTGTCAGAATGTACTCCTCTAAGCTTTGCCTCCAGGTCCTTGACTCTACCACTGAATTCTTTGTCAGTCGAAGAGCCCTTTTGCGAATAATCCATTGATCTGTTCTCCCGATCCTACAAAATAATAAAATTATAAGAATAACAATAACAATGAAATTCTGCTGTTAGTAGACAAATCAAATGTTTAGTACAAAAAAATTGTTTTCAGAGAACAGTGAGAAAAAAAAGTTTAGTTCATACAAACAAAAGGTAAAATCATGTTATAAGTCACACTTTTTGATTTTTTATTTGTTTATAAATAGCAGATGCGAATTAACAGGCTGACAACTCAAAACGACACCACTCAATTGATCTTACTGGGTAAAGAAGCTTGTCTTCCAATTGTTTCACCCTATCTTTGAAATCGGGTGCTGTCATTCTGTACACGAAAAGGGAATAATCTTCGAACGGGCCGGACTCGTCATCCGGCCTCTGGTTCGACTGGAGCATTTGCATACTTTTGTAGAACTGCTGATTTGCCAGATGCCTGAGGTACTTTCTTCTCATGTACCGGTCGTTTCGGTTTCTCTCGATTTCCTCCTGACGCCTCTGCCTATGCCTCCGTTCCCTCTCTAGCTCACGAATCCTCTCCTGCCTCTCGGTAAACTGCGTCCCGCCTATTACAGGCTCAAAATCTCTTTTCAAACAATTAGCCTCTTCTTCCAACGCTTCTAACTTCTTGAGCCTCTCTTCTATACTTTCCTGTGTATTTTATTAACTTAAGTCTAATGTATTTTCTAGGAGGGCTGCTTATATATTGACATTAACTGTGATATTGAAAATAAAATATAAATAATAATTTGTGGTGTTTAGTGGCTGTTAGTTAATGATTACGTAGAGATCGTGAGATGGGATCAGAAACTGCATCTCACGATCTCTACATAATTAAAAATAATACATGAAATTTAAAAGAAAATTAGAAGTTTGCATTAAAATGAATATAAAAATACAATAAATAAAGTTGAATGTAAAAAGGAGTTGTGTGATACTCTCCTTTTCTCATAATAAACATAATTCACTAATTTCGTGGTCCGCTTGACCAATTAGTATATTAATTAATTAAGGTTTTTAGTCGAGATAAAAAAGTCAATGGCAAGAGCGGGATTCGAACCCATGATCTTCGGCTAGATACACCGCTGCTCTAACATTTGAGCTATCGTGACCTCGATCCGCTCGGACATTAACTTCCCATCTCAACCGCACCTTTTGAATTATCCCTCCTTTTTGCCATTTTTCAAATGTCGTGTAATAAACATAATATAGCTCTATACAAATAAATATAAATATAAAAGAAATTATTAATAAATTATGAAACTTTACCATCTATTATTAAGTATAAACTTTATGTCAGTACAATTTATTTATTAAAATGTTCAGGGCAGCTGGTCTCATATGAGACCCGACTTGTCTTCTCTCCAGGGTGGCCAATTTTGAATGCACTGTTTTTTTATTGGCTAATATTTTGTTCCTATTTTGAAGCTTTTATATTCAGTGGGAAATCAGCTTTCAAATGATATGTGTCATTCATATAGATATAGTTCTATTGATGTCTGAGAAAACTGGTTGTGAACTTTTTTAAATATTTTTTTTTTTTAAACTTTTCTAGATTTTTAAAGGTAAGATTCTTATTTTTACATTAAATAAGATTAAATAATTGATAGATAGACTGTTTGTTTTGAGATTTTCAGGGTTTTGTAAAGAAAAATCTTTAAAAAATTTAACAATAAATTGTTCACTTCAGATATTGTTCTCTCCGTTTAATTTATAAGTATTTTATTTTTAACTATGGTTACGATAAATAATGGTAAATATAAAAGTTTTAAATTAGTTTTTGCTAATTTTGGAAAATGGAGTCTGTCTAACTAGGATGAGCTGTGAAAGGAAGAAGGTAAAAATGGTACAAAAAGAAGACCTTTCCACCTCTTACTGGCCGCTTCTCAGATATTTCTTCTTGTCCAAGAGTTATTCCCAATCGAACAAGAAGAAGCTTAATTATTTGCGAGAGTCAAAAAAGGTCAAATCGTGTAAATTGTAGCGAAAGAGCTGATGGGCGAGGTAGGAAAATGAAATAGTTTTAGTTAAATAATATTTTGGTAAATAGTTTGAATTTGTTGTATATAATAGTGTTCTTATTATTGTCATTATTATTTATTTTTTAAATAGAAATTTAAACCTTACTTCTTCTCAAATAATGCAAAACAAATATTTGACAAAGTTGCTGCACTATAAAAGAAAATTAGCAAAGCAAAATAATAATAATAGTAGCCCACAAAACCTAAAAATAAAACAGGTTTTTAAAATTGAAAATAGCACTGTGCAAAATTAAAAAAAAATTTAACAAAATATTTTTACCGTTTTACCGTTTAACGCTGTCGGCCGCTTAAGGGAAGCAATTTTTATTCCTTTTCTTTTAATAAATAGCATTAATAATTATTATAGGTCATAATTGACCATATTAATTATTTCAATTTATTATTCTTTTTGACTAAGTTCTTGATTCAACATATACGGATTTATAATTATTATTAAGGCTATTTATGAAAAGAAAAATTGCTGCACTGGAGCTGGTGGACAGCGTTAAACAGCATTAATATATTCTAGCCATCCAAGATCCATTAAAATAAATACATAATTCAATATTTATTAAAAATATAATAAATAAATTACGAGAAAAGGATAATAAATGTAATAAATTTTGTTGAAACTTACCGTTGTACTCAAATGGCTCCTTCTCCTTCGTGGTGGCCTATGGGTGGCTTTCGCCAAAAGATTTACTTTCTGTTGTGATGTCATATGGGCCAGAGATTTCATTCTTGTCGAATGCAGTTTGACTACCTCTTCTACGTTTTCCTCATTTTCTTCCTAAAACGAGGATTCACGTTATTTTTACATAGTCAATTCTTAACATGGGCCCAGGTTTTAAAAATGCAGACCAGTTTTGGATGTTTGATGTGCGGTATTTCACCCCTGAAAGCTTCATACACTTGAGAGAGGTATGAAAGCATAGCCAGCTTGTCAGGAATTTCACACTCAGCCATCTCATCACCCGTCATCACCTGCAAGTATAATTATATTTTAGTACTAATAAATTGTAAAATATAAAGAAAACAATGTTAATAAATTACTGGAGGTATGGCAAATTCCTTTTCTAATATGTCAAAAGCCAGTTGGTTGTTTTTTGAAATATCTTCTTTATTCAAGGAATTGAAATCTACAAGATGCGGCCTATACCGGTGGATAATGGCACAGAGTGCCATGCCATCCTTAAAAGATGAGGTCATGTCTAATAGTTTTACAGTGTTGTATAAAGCAACTTGCTTTTGAAGCCAGTAGAGAAGTGTATCGGGATGAACAAGGCCTTCTATAAAACACAATAAATTGTTGAATATTCAATAATCACTTAAAATCAGGGTAAAACATGCCTTTTCTCTTTCTCTTCTTTGGAGTGTCTGTAACAGCACGGGTGTCAGCACGATTCCTTGGCTCTTTAAGAAACTGTTCCACAGCTGAAATGTCATCAGTTTCAAATAGGCTTCTGACTTGTAATGGTAGCAAACTCCTTGAGTTAAGATTAGGATATCTAAACAAAAAATAGAATTTTTAGTTTTGTTATTTTCAAAATTTAATCATTTCAAAACCTTACCTAGTATGTGGATCCAATGTATAGGATTGTAAGTCTCTTTGGAGGTTCTCGGGAGTAGTCTGTGCCAGCAGCCTGTAAATGCTTTCCCTCTCAGCTATCACTTCCAAAGGATGAAGGCCGAGGCCCCAGCTTCGTATTGCCCAACACGTATCCATGCACGATAAAAATCCCCTAGCACACCCTGATCCCGTAGGCCAGAACGGCTAAAATATTTTTTATGAGTATATCGTAAAATTTAAAATAAGATATTTCAGAAAGATATTAACTTCCAGAAGGCTGTCACCGACAAGCGCGACCATCAGACGGTGGCCACGCTTTTCTATAAAATGTGTGGCATTTTCAGCAGCGTACATCGATGTAAAGTCGAACATTGCCACATCAGGCTGCCCATAATGGTTCACAGCGAATTCCAATTGGGGAAGTCTGCATCCTGTTGAAAAATCCGCTGCCTCGCGAGCGTACTCTAACAGGGCCTTCTTGTCAACATTATCCGTGCTTAATAATTTTGCAGCATCACTCTGATCCTGTGAGTAAAATTATATTATAAATAATTTAATAACTTTGTAACTAAATTTATTGACTCACCGAAAGAATTACACCTTTATCAATAAGACTATGTTTTTTAGCAGTCATAACAAAATAATGGGTGTCATCCTTGTAGTAAACGATGTTCTCTAGGTCAATGCCAGTGGATGCGTACAGATCTTTGAAAAATTTTTGGTTGAATATAAAAGCTACACCACTTATTTCTTCTACTCTTGCTTCAGCTTCTGTATGTCGGTTAATGAAATTTGCTGTTATAGCGATAGCTAATTTACCTCTAAATTCTTTTCTTTTAAAACCTGCAGAAATGGTAATCATTAAGTTTGTTAAAACATAATAAATTTTTAAACAATTAAGTTTACCATCAAGTGTGTTTCGCTTTCCATCTGCTCCTATTAGAACATCAAACTCATATTGTGATGCTGGATGATCAGGTGGGCTTGTCTGTGCTCTCCATCCGACTCCTGATTTAAAATAAAACATATACATAAACACAAAATTATCACTAAAGGCAAACGTTAACGTACTTTCTTCGCCTTGGACATCAGGAGGAGGGAGGAGCTTTTCAAAACCGACAGCTTCATGCACTTCCACTCCTAAAATCAAAGCCACTTTGAGAAGGATGCACTGTAGCTGTCGGATGCTGATGTGGTCGATGGCTCCTGCACAGAACCTCCCAAAGAACTTCTTTGCGCCAAGCGCCCTTAGATCGTGAATAACAAAAGGCCAGAGGTGCAACACATTGTTGCGTGTGATGCGGTCTCTTTTTTCTATGACTACCACCTTTGCACCCAGCAGCTGGGCTTCGATCGCAGTCCTTAATCCGCATGGTCCAGCTCCTATTACCAGAACCTAAACGGATAAATAATTTTTGCAATTTAAAATGGCAAAGCATGGTATTTTATATCACAATCTGATTTATAGTAGAATGACTGTCGGGGGAAAAAAATTTATCACATTGATAAATTGCATTTTGTATAAATACAAGGGGAGAAAGAATACTTGCTTTCAAATTAAAAATAAATCTTACTGGCCTAAATTTGAATATATACTTAAATAACAAGACTTGTAGTCCCCATTATGTCAAATGGGAAGTATCTTACGGTTTTCTTTAAACCAAAGAATTTTGGCAATGTTCCCTGCCTTTTTCAATAAAATATTATTTATAGAAATAAAACAGTATTCTTCCAAAGAGAAAATGTGTAAACAATACATACCCTTAAATTTGTACCGCATTTGTTTCTGTTGTAACACTTGTGACTTGCCCTTTTATCAAACTTGCTCCACAGAGCTTGAGCCCGCCATGATCCTAACTTAGCCTAGAAATAAACAAATTTAAATTACACAAAAATTTACTTAAGCGAAGTGGAAAACGGCCGAAACATGAGAAAGGAAAATGAGTATTATTTAATTGACATCACTCTTCACACTCTGAATGAGACACCACAATACCTTGAGTTTGGGGTAGAACTGGTTGAAGTTTGTAGGTCGGATCTGAAGGAGGTCGCAAAGATGCCTATGGAGAGCTAGAATAGCCTTTAGCGTTCCTGCATTGCAAAATTGATCAAATACTTGAGCAGCCAATGCTACATTCTCGGATCTCTCCATCCTTCAACCTGAAACATCGAAGAATAACAATTTACAGATACTCGACGATTAAATAAATGATTCATTCTACTTTTCTCTTATGACATAACAAATTAAGCTGCACTCTCAAATTCTCAAGATCAAGCCGCCTTCATCGTTTTTACCCCCGATTAAACTAATATGAAATAGTGCTGAAAAGTGCACAAAAAACAGGCGGGTCAATAAATAAGCATTATTTTACCAGTTTTTAATATTTAAAAAAATTAAATTTAAATAAATATATTATATTAGTTAAATTGCTCATACAACTAGGACAAAATTAACATAAACCTACAAAGACTAGCTGTTTCCTGCATCTCCGACATACTGTTTTCACTTATTAAACGAGTTGGAAAGATTACTATCTTTTTCCTAAGTTCTGGGATGATTGTACAAAACAAGGGACTATAAAGAAAACCGTCCCAATAAAAACCAGATGTGCTACTCTGTATAAATTAATTTTGGGTGAATGACATGTTTATTTCTACGATGCGATAATCTCATAAATGGAATGTTAAATAAAAAAATAAACAGTAAATAGCAATGGAATAATGAGATCAATATTAACATTTTGTCTATTTTATTAGCAATTATTATTTATGTAACCCTTTCTTATAGTTTAATTATCATAGGGAAAATGTTTCGAATCAATTGTTTTTCATTTTTACAATAATAAATTAGAACAAAAGTAACTGATAAGTTTTAAAAATGCATTTCCTGGCTATGACTAAGACGGTTTTGTTTCACCAATTTGAACAAAACGACCACCATAAAACTGTCACATGCACAATTGCCAGTCGGATTATCAGGAAGTGGATTCATGCGTCCCTTCTTCATTTCTAACAGGCTATTTTGAGGGGGGCAACCACCTCCCAAGAGATTACAACTCTGTGAGGCAATTGGTAAAATGTAAAATTAATTTTTTTAAAATATAACAATACTTGTGAATTATGGACAAATTGTCTTTTACAGAACCAGAAAAAAAAAGAAAACTAACGAGGTTGAATTGATTCTTTAATCCTTACCAAAATGCTTACTTTTACAAATAAAAATTTAAAAAAAGGCAATGTATTAAAAATTGTTTGTATTCTCCGGTTTTAAATAAGTGATTATATTGGATGATTCAGTGCCCTGTTATATAACACCACAATAACTACGATAACAGTGTATTCTAATTGCCTTTTATTTTTATTTATTTATTTTTAAATTAAGCTTTGTGGCTGAACCTGATAGCACTACATCATGAAATTTAAGACTTTGGTAATATTGAGAAAGATATGTGACATGAGGATGACTAACTCTAAATGATTCACAAGGATTGAAATAATGGCCCAATGAACACTTCCTGCAAGACGTGGTCTCAAGTGCTTAAAATGCCGTCGTTCTACGGTTGATGTCTATTATTATGTAACT